GAATACCAGTTAGCTTTTGATAATATAATTTCGGATGATAAAGAAGTACTTGAAACTACGTTTGTAACCCTGGAGAAATTTATTTGTCAAATGTATGGAGTTAAAAATTGTTCGATTGTTAATGATGTTCGTATTCATTTATTTTCAAGTACGTTTAAGTCAAAAAAATCAGATGAGAACTTTGACAAAAAATTTCGAAACTTTGACTCATCCAGTTTGCCACCCTGTAAAGTGGAATTGGAACAGCATTTATTGAGGGTTCGTTACGTGACGAAAATTTGGAGAAATGCTCACTCAAAACATCCAACATCTTTATCTCCAATGGCTTTTGGGTGGACCATTAACGGTGACAAATATGATTTTGTTTGGTTTTTGGGAGATCAATTACCATCCTCAGTTGCAGATATTATTGTTCAAAGTAAGTGTTAAATGGAACATTTATCAATAATAACTAAAATGGTTAATAACGAACAAGAAAAATTACACTGTTTATTTTTTTTCTGTTGCAGATGATTTAGAAGATAACGAAAGTTCCCAAGAAGATGATATGAATGACACCGACAAAGACAGCGACGATGATGATGATGATTATGAAGATGCCTCTTTTTTGTGACGTCACTATAGGCTAAAACAACTTGTAAAACTCAATATTAATTATTCATAACTTACATTTAGTAATTAGGACAATTTAAATAAAGTGTTGATTATTAATTTTAATCAAATTTTATATTCCTTTTTATGCTCGTACTACTGCATTATACTGCAATACTTTTCATGACTTTTACATTTTAATTCAAGGCTTAACAATCGATTAATGTCTGGCAAATTCATTTTCAGTTTTTCTTATATTTAAATAACATAATATTAAAATTACAGACATTCTAAAATGCTTTGAAATTTTTATAAAAATAAAACTTAAAATCGCGTCTGGCACATAGTTAGCAACGTGAAAAATGTCTGGCAATAAAAAAAGTATGTCAGGTAGACGTATTTAAAAAGGAAAAATCAAAAATTACGCTTCTTAAAATGCAATGCTTCATCATACTGCAATACTTTATCATTTTAATTCAAGACTTAACAATCGAATTAATGTCTGGCAAATTCATTTTCAGTTTTTCTTATATTTAAATAACATAATATTAAAATTACAGACATTCTAAAATGCTTTGAAATTTTTATAAAAATAAAACTTAAATTCGCGTCTGGTACATAGTTAGCAACGTGAAAAATGTCTGGCTATAAAAAAAGTATGTCAGGTAGACGTATTTAAAAAGGAAAAATCAAAAATTACGCTTCTTAAAATGCAATGCTTCATCATACTGCAATACTTTATCATTTTAATTCAAGACTTAACAATCGAATGAATGTCTGGCAAATTCATTTTCAGTTTTTCTTATATTTAAATAACATAATATTAAAATTACAGACATTCTAAAATGCTTTGAAATTTTTATAAAAATAAAACTTAAAATCGCGTCTGGCACATAGTTAGCAACGTGAAAAATGTCTGGCAATAAAAAAAGTATGTCAGGTAGACGTATTTAAAAAGGAAAACGCAAAAATTACGCTTCTTAAAATGCAATGCTTCATCATACTGCAATACTTTATCATTTTAATTCAAGACTTAACAATCGAATTAATGTCTGGCAAATTCATTTTCAGTTTTTCTTATATTTAAATAACATAATATTAAAATTACAGACATTCTAAAATGCTTTGAAATTTTTATAAAAATAAAACTTAAAATCGCGTCTGGCACATAGTTAGCAACGTGAAAAATGTTTGGCAATAAAAAAAGTATGTCAGGTAGACGTATTTAAAAAGGAAAAATCAAAAATTACGCTTCTTAAAATGCAATGCTTCATCATACTGCAATACTTTATCATTTTAATTCAAGGCTTAACAATCGAATTAATGTCTGGCAAATTCATTTTCAGTTTTTCTTATATTTAAATAACATAATATTAAAATTACAGACATTCTAAAATGCTTTGAAATTTTTATAAAAATAAAACTTAAAATCGCGTCTGGCACATAGTTAGCAACGTGAAAAATGTCTGGCAATAAAAAAAGTATGTCAGGTAGACGTATTTAAAAAGGAAAAATCAAAAATTACGCTTCTTAAAATGCTTTTAAAATCCAGGATTATTACCTGGACAGATAGGATGCGCACTAATGAACGCAACCGCTACCGCCAGCCAGACTGCCCAGACTCTAACCGGAAGTGCAAGAAGGAAGACATATCACAAAATCAGCTGACCTAAAATTCTTTCTTTTCAAACGTTGCTACCTCCCGTACTATAAGAAACGCTCAGTTGTGGAACGACGGACGTCGAGGTGATTCGGATGGTATTTTGTATTCTATTTTAACGTCCGATGATGAAACTCAGCTGCTGGTATTAGTCCGAACTACTCTGAACACTCCATGGTAAATGCGTAATAAAATTTATTAAATGGTCGCAAAATTCTTCCAATTTCAAGTAGACGTTGAGTGTAGTTTTATCTGAAATTTTTTTTTAAATTAAATTCATTATCTAATATATAAAATTCTCGTGTCGCGGTGTTTGTGGTTAAACTCCTCCGAAACGGCTTGACCGATTCTCATGAAATTTTGTGTACATATTGGGTATGTCTGAGAATCGGACAACATTTATTTTTCATCCTCCTAAATGTTAAGGGTAGTCCACCCCTATTTTATTTTTTTTATTTTTAGATAAATTTTTATTGTTTTATTTTTTTATGATCCAGCATTAAAAAATACATACAACGCCTAATTTTCATCCCTCTACGATCAACCCCTATTTTTATTATAAAAGATATACATGGCAAAACGAAGTTTGCCGGATCAGCTAGTATTATATACAAATTGTATATAAATTGCCTTCATCTTAGAACTTAGAAACAAGGCTTAGAACTGACTCCCGTATGCCAAAAATATGGATTTGGCATTCGGGAGGCAAAGTTAATACGATATAAATAAATAAAAAAAATAATAATTAAAATTAATTATTTTTATTATTTTATAAATAATCAAATACTTACAAATTACGCAAGTCTACAGAGAGCTAAATCAGCTTGATAAACAAGGTAACAATGCTTGCATGGAATTAAGTCATATTCCTTTATGTTATTAATTTTCAAACAATTTAGGAAATTATTAACACTTTGGATAGTGCAAGGCAGTTGGGAAAGCTCATAGTCCTCTAATTCTTCATCTGCGCTCAGCGCTTCACCACAAATCTTTAAAATGATGAACACGAGTATTATTTTATTCATTGTTGCGTTTAATTTCTATATGTGATATAAGTTTCCTCTTTTATAATGTAGTTAAGTATTTATTAGTAATAAACTGCGAATAGCACGCATTCATCCATTACATTCCTAGATATTATGATAAAAACATTAAATTCTTTGTGTGCGTCAGGCTTCTGAGACTTAAAAGTTTGTTTGGTCAGGTAGAAAATATGTGTAAAAACGCTATCACTCAAAGATTTTTAGAACCCAATTAAATGATAGTGGTCAGCCAACCTGACGTTAGAATGGCCGGCCACTTTATTTCTTTATTATGTTCTTTAATGCAGAGCGTAAAGTCTTTAAAGGTAGCAAATAGTATCAAATAGGTAGAGAAATATGGCGTATACTTTGATTGCGATATCAAGTTTGGTCAGCGGTCAGCTCACCTGACGCACACAATTCTTTTGACTTCCGTTCGATGCTCAAATGTCTTGTAAAAGATGTTAATTGTCAACGCAGTAGCAAACTGTTTGTTTAAATATTTAAAGGTAAGACAATTTAAACTGATTATTTAAATTATTCTCTTGACGAGGTGTAGTTATTAATTAGCGGGAAAAAACAATAAATTTAAAATACGCATACAAATTGTATTTATGCACAATTTGTAAGTGTGCAACTCCGTATTTATACAAATATATTAATAATATTGTTTATTTAACTTATTTGTTTATTTTAGACTCTTGGGCCGTGGGGTCCACGTGTATAGGCGCTTATTAAAGATTTAAGTTGGCGCCTGGTAGATAGTACCGGTGACATCAGAGCTGATTTTCCTGGATCAACTGAAATCCACATATAATAATAGTTTGGCTCATAATGTTGAGTGACTACTTTTTGATTGTGTTAAAATTAACAATCACCAAAAAGGTTCAATGACTTTTTGCGAATCATATGTTCACTTCTATCGGAAAAACGACCTCGAATTGCCGCCGTCAACCGACCGATGGCGTTGCCTAGCTTCGCCACGGTATCCAAGATTCCAAGAGGCGTATTAATAAAGAAATATTTGGGAGTACTGTTTAAATATGACGCTTTTAAGGTAACAGTTGTTTTAATTACATCATAGAAAGAAAAGTCGTTATTATTCCCATACAGTGATTTGGTCCATCTGGTATGAATTTAATCGAATATCCTTGCCAATTTTCAACACCATTTGAAACCTACGCAAAACAATTTTGAAAATTGACAAATTATTGTTCTTGCTCAGCGCTACAATAGTCAAAATGAAGAACATAAATATTATTTTATTTATTGTTAGAGCTTAATTTCTTTTAGCGTGAAGTTTCCATTTTTATATAGCACTATTATAATGGTATAATTTTGATAAGTAACTATAATTAACTGTGAATTAATGGTATGTACATAATTATTAATTAATACATTATGTTCCTATGCTTTATAATAAAAATATGAACTTCTTTTGATTTCCGCTTGATGTTAAAATTTCTTGTTATCATTTATTTGAATTGTGAAATCACCGCTCATATTTAATTTCTTAAAACGTTCTTAAAATCTATAATTTTTAAATATTTTTATATATATTCGTAAACGTACAAACTAAAAATTTTTAGTACATTTAACCAACGGAAACGGAAATGGCAGAAGCTACAATAAATTAATTATGGAATGTTTTCTTTTAACAATTAGTGGCATTGTTGCTTAGCAATTAGCATTGTTCCTATATATTTCCTATCAATATTGGAAGCAAAATGAAGCCAGTTTCATTTTGGAGAATGGGTGATGTAGCTCTAGGAAGATTAAGCAAGCAAGTTTATGTTAAAGTGCAAGTTGTTAAAGATGTAGACGGATTGTTTTATGACGACAAAGGTATGCTTACAGTATAATTTCATCGTCTATTCTTCTTTTCTTCTCGTCTTAAAATATATAACCTCGGTCAGCGGGTTCATTAAATTTTATATAGGTAATATTTACGCAACTGAAGAAAATCTTTAACTCAAAGGCATATTCTAAAACAGGTTTGCCAAACTTGCAAAACATGATATCAGGCTAGCTTAGGTTTTAGAATTTAACAGTCTTGTAGTATTCTCTTCCAGACAACTTAAGGTTAGGTCAGTTAGCATTGCCAAACTGTAGTGGATTTTAACATATTAATTTAGATGGGATTACAATTCGTAAATTTTTTTAATTTAGTTTAGATCTAACTCCTAACAGCAAATAAGAACCCATGTTCTTGTAAGCATTTCCTACAAGTACTAAAAGTATTTGTAGTAACAAAATTTATTAATTCTGATCACCACTTAAGTATATTGTTTAATAGTTTTAGGAATATCAGCAAATGGAGATAATATAGAAGTGTTTGAAGAATTATGTTATTATGTTGAGGTGTTAAGGTCAAAGGAGCGAATATGGCTGCCATACACAAGTATGTACTTAGCTGGGCGGTCTAGACCATTTTATGGGACAGAGAGAGTAGACAGACCAAAAAAAGCAATTGATGGAAAGCCATCTCCTAGGGTAAGACAAGATGAGTCAGAAATATATAGTTTTAAGAGACTTCATAAACAAATGGAATAAAGAATTAGCTTGCCTTCTATCAAAAATGTCCTGAATGCACCTTGGAACTTAACAAGCTTCAACTGTTTAAATGGAATAACGTTTTGAAATACTGAAGTGTTAGTGTTAGTGAAATATTCCTGTAGCAAATAAATAAAAAATATATTTTACATTAAGCATCTTGCCAAAAGGAAATAGGAACATAAATTTAAAGTATAAGATAAATGTAATGGACTAGTTTTTCTTGATCAAATGAACCTTAATATATTTTCAGAAAAAATCTGAAGATGATTTTAGTGACTTGAGTGACCAATGCTCTGATTATGAAGGATCAGTCTCTGATATTGAGGAGAGGGAAACATTAGATGAGGTAATGTTAATTAAATTAACTGTAATGGCCTCTTTTATAATACATATCGACGTAGGAAAGCATATTTGCTGTAAGTAGACAAAATACCTAAAGTGACTTTTTACTGCCATTAGAATCAGAAAAAAAACCGCATCGAATGTCCCGGGTCCTGTGCCTCTACGATGACAAAAAAATTACATACGCGGTTGAAAACGCCCGTACTTATATTTTTTTTAGTAAGATTAAATGCTGTATGTAGACCAAAATCCAGTCATTTTAGACAATTTGTACTTACAGCAAAAGAAAATCTGCATTTTTTACTTTACAAATACTTACTTCTTCCCATTTAAAAACTTAACGCTACTTACAGCATTTCTGCGGCGTGTGATTTTTACATTCGTTTACTTACAGCAAGCTTAGGGAACCTACAGTTTTAGTTTTTTTTTACCATTTACGACATGTTATTACAACCAAACATTACATTACCAAATGACCCACTGCATTTCTAGATCTAATCATAATTATAAACTAATCTTACATCTTGAATTGCAATTGAAAGTACCCAAATACATAAATTTACTGCATACAGCATATTTACCGGCTGTAAATTGATAATATTTCCGCGCGTACATTTTTCTTCCTTAGTTACAGCGTTTTAAAGGTTTGTGATTTAAAAAACTGTATGCTGTAACTAGCCAAACACGTACTTATAGTAACTTTGGATAAAAAGTTTACATTGCAAATGGTGACTGGCAGTTAAATAAATATATGTTTCAAAAATGGTAGCAATATCATGGATACTTTCGACACTATTAATTTTTTTCCGAAATTAATTAAGTTTTTTGGCTCTGGTGAACAATTGCAATATGTCTACTTACAGCAAATATGCTTTCCTACGTCGATATTAAATAACTTTGAAATATAGTATGTTGAATAAATAAATTTCAATCACAATTTTCTTTACTTTCTCTTAATATAAATAATCAAATAACTTCTTGGTTGGTTTTTGTCCAACAAGTTTTAATTTTACTTATTACTAAAATCTGTGTTGAGGTATCATAAGAAGACCAGGTATTTGAATATTTCTAATATATATATCTATTTTAGATGTATTGCTATTTTTTACTACTTAAAAATATTATATTATAATTAATACCATTCAATAAAGGCCCATAATAAATTTAATTAAACCCATTATTTGAAACATTCCATTCTGAGTAATATATTATTTTTGTTTCAGTATATAGAAAAAATTCCATTTGAAGATTTTATCCATTGTGGCAAAGAAGTATTATTTGATGAATTATATGATCTAGCACTCTTGGATTGCGATGAGGTATGGTATTTCACATATCTTTGCGCATAAGAAACCAAAAAGCATGTTCCTAAACTGCTTAAAGTGTACAATATAGAGACTGTGAGCACACTTTAAGGCCAGAAAGAACTTTATTAAAAATAATAAAAAAGGATATGTAGTTAAGAAGAAAGTGTACTAGCCACACTAGGATTCCCTATGACGTGGGCTAGTCTCTTCCATTAAACATATTAATCATTTTAGGTACTTAATTTAATATTCTTTATAACACTTACTTTTATAATTAAACTATTGTTGCACAAGAAGAATAATTTATAGGACAAGTTTATGATTGTTAGTGATTGTGTAAAATCTCTGGTGAAGATTTGGTTTTTAAGAAAGTGTTTAACGATGAAAGGAATGAAAGAACAAAAAGCGTTGAGCTATGAAAAAGCATTTTTTGGGTAACTTATATGAATGTTTGTGTTGCGTATGATGTGGTGAGGTCTGTCCACCAGCAGGACTATTCAATAAAACCATTACCGATTTACTATTGACTTAACTACTGTAATGGCACTCTTAGGGTTAGGGTTAGGGTTGAAGGACTCCTTTCTCCGCAATTAGACTCGAGGTTGGTCCGTTGTGCGTACGAGTCCTGGCTAATTTAGCCAGCCTAGCTCCTTCCAGAAGCACAGAAGTCTCCTGGGCACTTCACAGGCTTCCCGGAGCGACCTCACCGTTCCGAGGATTTTTTCACGTTGATTAGCCACAGCCTCGCATTCCAGGACTACGTGGGTGACTGTTTCCTCTGCGCTGAAACAGCCTCTGCACAGGGGGCTGTCTGTCGCGCCTAGGATAAAAAGATGTTTATTTAGGAGGCAATGACCCGTTATTGTCCCTATCATTATCTTAAGGTTAGTTCTGTTTAAGTTAAGTAGTCGCTTTGTCAGTTGCGGGTTTACTGCTGGCAAAGCCACTTTGGACTGTCTGCAGGCCGCACCATGCGACCATCGTTGTTGCTGGAGTTCAGCGGATCTCTGGCGAATCCAGGTTCGCACCAGCGAGAAGGGCAAAGGAAGGAGCGGATACGGGCCAGCAGGCATCATTCCGGAGCCTCTTCTCGCAAGCTCGTCCGCAGCATCATTGCCGAGAGATCCACTGTGTCCCTTTATCCACTGCAAGGTAACCCTATTGGTTCGGGTTATGACCTCCAGTGCTTCATGACACTCCAGTATTAGTTTGCTGTTGGTTTTTTGTTTCCGAGCGCCATCAGCACGGATGCACTGTCGGATACGAATTTAATGCAAAAGTCATTAATCCCTAGCCGCTGCACGGCTCTGGCTGCTTCGGTTAAGGCGACACATTCACATTGAAAGATCGTGCTCTGTGTGCCCAAGGGTAGGTGTATGTTGATGTTGAGATCAAGAGAGAATATGCCAGCGCCTGAGCCAGACCCTGTTTTGGATCCATCTGTATATATACGAAGCTCATTTACGGTCGACCGATCATGTTCCTCTTCTCTCAGTTGTATAAGATATTTCCTGTTAAATATTAATTGGTTAGTGATTCTATCACAGGGCGCAGCAATAAGAGGTTGATACTCTATTGCCCTGTTGAGAATCGCTGTGTGTGCACTGTAGTGATTTTTTCCCCATAGATCCAGTACCATAAGCCTGATAGCAGCCAGGGCTGCCTCCTGCTGTATGTGTAGGTCCAGGGGTAAGATCTGCAGGGCCATCTCCATTGCTGCAGTTGGTGTTGTTTTCATGCAACCGCTAGCAGCGGACAAAGCAAGCCTTTGGAAGCGTCCGAGTTTGGTAATTGCCGTTTGAAGTTCAGTTCTGGGCCACCAAACAAGGGCTCCATAGGCTAGCATTGGCCTTATTATGGCAGTGTATATCCATAATGTTATCTTAGGCGATAAGCCCCATTTCACGCCTAGCATCTTTTGCATTGATAAAAGGCGATCGTTGCTTTGTTTAGTTTGTGTTCTAGATGTTTGTTCCAGAGCAGTTTACTGTCCAAAATCACACCTAGGTACTTGATTTCATACTTGAGTATGAGTTCAGTGTTGAAGAGTTTCGGAAGTTTGTACGGTCCAAGAACTCTTCGGTTGGTAAAAAATATTAGTTCTGTTTTTGATGGGTTGACAGATAACTCGTGCTTATAATAATAATAATAATAATAATAATAATAATTTATTTTTTGCAAGAATATGGTACAAATGTTAAGGTGATACAATCATAAATCGTTCGCATATTCTGCCACACACGATGGCGCGCAAATTTGTCTTAAAGTATTTCACATTATTATTCAATGTCAATTATTCTTATACTATCTAGTCTATTATACTATATACATTATATCATTAGCTTTATATCAATTACGGTGTTTCATGCAAATAATCATTTATTGAATAGTACATTTTTTCTAAAAGTAATTCACTAAGTCGCTTTTTAAAGAATCTAGACGGAAGATCTTTTAATTCTTTTGGTAATTTATTGTAGACTTTAATTGCCATACAAAAGCTGTTTTTCCGAAACAGTTCCAGATTGATTTTTGGCACAGCCAATTTCATCCCATGTCTACTTCTTACTTCAACTTCTACATTCGACTTAAAAATATGTATGTTTCTGTGCACGAATAAGGATATCTCTAAAATATAAATACATGGAAGAGATAAAATTTTGAGCTTCTTAAATAAAGGTACGCAACTATCAAGACAGTTTGCTCCACAAATTGCTCTAATACATTTCTTTTGAGCCTTAAATACCCTATTTACTTCGACTGAATTTCCCCAAATTATAATTCCATATCTAAGTATAGATGAAACATATGCATGATAAGCAGCTAATACCGTAGCATGGTTAACAGTTTCCCTTAGTCGTTTTAACACAAAAACAAAACTGTCTATTTTGTTCTGTAATTTTTCAATATGTGCCTTCCAACTACAAAATTTATCTATCGTTATACCTAAAAATACACACTCGTTCATTATGTCTAGTTTATTGCTTTTATATTGTAAGTCTAATTGTGTTTTAGAGTTATATGTCTGAAAATGGATTATGTTAGTTTTGGTCATGTTTACCTGTAGATTATTGGAATTCATCCAGTTAATGGCGTCGTCTAGAGATTTAATTAAGTTGTTTTTTAAGTCTTGTTCGTTTTTACTTTTTATTATAAGTGTAGTGTCATCAGCAAATAGTATACAGTTCTGGTGTATAGCATCTGGAAGGTCATTTATGTATGTTAGAAAAAGTAGCGGGGCCAAAATACTGCCTTGAGGTGTTCCGTACTCATTTTTCTTAAAATTGGATCTATAGGTTTTTTGCTCTAATTTACAAATCTTTGTTATCTCCACATATTGCATTCTATTTTCAAGGTAACTTTTCACCCAGTTATAAGCATTACCTCTTATTCCGTAGCAATCTAATTTTTTTAAAAGTCTTTCATGACATACAAAGTCAAAAGCCTTTGTCATATCTAGAAAAATACAACCTATAAGCATTTTATCATTTAAGCATTCAGTAATTTGTTTGACTAGGGAAAAGCACGCAAGGGTGGTAGAACAATTTTTTCTGAAACCAAATTGTTCTTTTTTTAAAATATCGTATGATAAAAGGAAATTCTCTATTTTATTATACATTACTTTTTCGAAAATTTTAGATAATATGGGAATTAAAGTTATTGGTCTATAATTAGTCATTTGTGTTTTTGCTCCTTTTTTATGTAATGGTTTGATAATTGATATTTTTAGTTTTTCAGGAAAGATTCCTTCTACCATCGATAGATTAATTATGTATGTCAGTGGATCAAGTAGGTATAAAGCGCATGATTTAATTGTTTTGGTATCTAAATTATCGTATCCTGTAGATTTTGTATTTTTTAGCGATGTAATAATTTTTAATATATCCGTGTTATTTATGGGGGAAAGAAAAATACTTTTATGATTTAGAGAGATTTTGGCTTCTGGCAAATTGTTTGTTTTATTTTTTGTAGGTAGTGAGGTAAAATAGTCATTAAATAAGTTGCATATTTCATGTGGTGATTCATATGTTTTTCTATCAATATCAATTGCTTCTATTCCTGAATAAAATCTCATGTCTCGTGTATTTGTTTTAATTACATTCCAGGCTGCTTTAGTTTTGTTTTTTGCGCAATTTATGTATTCTGCATTAGTAAGCTGATGGGACTTATGTATACATTTTTTTAAAATATATGAGTATTTATTATATGCAGATTTATTTTGTTTTTTATTGTGCTTATTTAAATGATATTTTAGGTATAACGTTCTTTTTTTTATACAACATTTTTTTAGGGCTTTAGTAAAGAATCTATTTTTGATAGGTTTGAATGTATTTTTAATTTTTAGGATCGGAAAACATAAATTGTAAAACAAAGTTATAGTGTCATGGAAGTTGTCGAATGCTTCATTTGTTGTGGTGGAGCTGTATACGTCCGAGAAGGTGAGGCTTGATAGACACCTAATAAATGTATTAGTGTTTTCCCTATTGAGTTCTCGTCTGTATATAAACCAGTATTTTGGAATATCTTTAAAATTTTCGTTTTCTTCGAGTGTAAAAGTCAGTGATTGTGCGGTCTCATGGTCTGAAAGTGCCAAGTAGTGGAGGTCCGAGTGTGTGTCATTTATGTTACTTGCTATTAAGTCTAAGCAGGAGTTTTTCCGTGTTGGGTGTTTTACATGATTTTGTAAATTATTATTTAGAAGAATAGAGATAAGTTCGTGGGAACTTTTATTATTTTTTAAAATGTCTATGTTCCAGTCTCCACATAATATTAGTTTTTTGTTGCGTTTCCTGCATAGGTTACTTAAAAGTTGTTCTAAATTATATAAAAAAGTTGTTACATCTAAAGTAGGAGTCCGGTAAATACATATTATTATTAAGTTGTATTTACTTATTTCAACGCCACAATATTCGAATTGGAGAGGAATTGGGGGTCTAGGGTAACAAATTTCCTTGTATTTCAAATTGTTTTTTATTAAGATGCACGAACCACCTCGGCGTTGATTAGGCCGAGAATATGAAGAGACTAATCTATAATTATTTATTTTAACGTTGGATTCACTTCCTTGTTTAATAAAAGTTTCTGTGAAACATATGATGTCCACACTTCCCAAACTTCCTTGCAGGTCCGTGATGGCTACACTAACTAAATCCTGTTTGCTAAGCAACCCTGCTATATTTTGATGGACTAGTCTTAATTTATTTTGCTTATTAGTTGTTACGAAAAAAATTACAACTGGAAGGCTGGTTTTTATTTGTAATATTGGTACCTGACATTTTAAGAAAATTTGTTATTTTTAATTGTACAGTGTGAGTCGACTTGTTTGTGTGACTAGGTTGCACGCTGGATTTATAGTTAAGATTTGTCTTATGCTGTGTATAATATCGAATGTACTCAATTTCCGTGTTTATTTTATCACATAAGTTGAAGAGGTGTTTTGTATGAGAATAGGGTGTGTTTTTATCGTACTTCGAGTGGCGTATTTTTAAGTAGTGGCAATATTTATAATTAGATAGTATAGATTCTAGATGAAAGTTAATTAATTTTACATTTAAGTGAGCATTATATTGTACATTGGTTATAAACACCTTTTGCTGTCGCAATTGGTATAACACATTACACAATTGTGAGATGAAGGTATAAGGGCGTTTATCGTTTGCACCTATTATTAATACTATAATGTCTTTAGGTTTAATGATGGACTTATTAATTTCACTGATACAACTACTTAAAATCTGTGCACTCGTAGCATGGGGCTTTATAAACGAAGTAACTTTGTAATTGTCCTTTTGTATATTTAATCTTGACTTTATTAATTTATGTGTTAAGCCACAAGCTTGCTGATCTCCAAATATTATTATTTTGGGTCGATTTTCTATTACTTGACCATTTAAAGTCATGACATTATCGTTTTGAATAACTGGTTTTGTTGTTCTTATAGTGACATCTATTGGCAGCTCCTTACTATTCTGCTTGTGGTTTTCAATATTTGGTGGAAATTCTTGTACAATGCGCTTATTCTGTTCCTTATATTTGGAAGGGCAGGAACTACAGGCGAGTTCCGCATTTTCTTGGTTTTGCTTTTGTAGTAAGGTGTTGGTAGTAATATTAATAGAAGGTGAAGAGTAATTTTGTTTTAGATTATTTATAGTTTCCTTTTGTTTTATAATTTCAAGATTTTTCGTGGAATTTTCAATTAATAGGGTTTCAATTGTTTGATGTGCTGAATCCAATTCTAATTTTAATTGTTTTATTTGCTCCAATAATTCGGAATGGTCATATAAACTTCTTGTAGAAATGTCTGGTAAACTTGTTGAGTCATAACAGTCACAGTTCGATTGACCAGAACTAGATGAAAGGTTAAGGGAATCAATAAATCTTCTTTGCTTTCTTCTCATTGTAACATTGTCGTTTTCCATTATAAAAAAAAAAAAAAATATATAAATACAATGATAACAATTGCTAACAGATGTATGGCTTGAACCGATGTGATTCGAACCGGGACATGTAATAGTTATGTGAGAATCCGAGGAAGAGAGATAATACCACTAGCCAACAGGCCTATTACATGTGTTTCAAAATTAAGCAATCTATTTCTATTTGTGTAAATTGCTTTGAAAATACGTTAAAATTCAACTGATGTGAGTCACATCGGAGAACAAAGGATTCACTTAATTTATATGTTTCTTCACTATTATCGTAGTTCACTAGTTTATAGCACTTTACCGGTAAGTTTGTCACTTTATTAGTTTGTAGATTGATTGGAAATTGTATTTTTAAGCAAAAATACAATTTCCAATCAATCATAAAAAAGCAAAAAAGCTTATTGCACCATCTCTCAATCACTTTGAAAGCTCTTCTCATGAGGTCACATAAGGTGCTTTCAAAGTTCCCAGATATCAAGATAGCTATGTCATCAGCATATCCCACAGTGTAGAGATTGTCAGCGTTGAGTTCTGTGATTAGTTCATTAACCACAAGGTTCCACAGTAGCGGCGATAGAACACCTCCCTGCGGACATCCTCTGCTGACAATGCCTCGTGTTGTGGAGTTTACCGTGAACTGTATAGCTCGTTGTTTTAGCATGTTGTTTATCCATTCTATAAGGGTTGTTGGTACTCCACATAACCTTAGTGCTCTGGTTATACTCGTGAAGTTTGTTTTGTCAAAAGCACCTTCGATGTCAATGAATGCACCAAGGGTTGACTGCTTTAACTTCAGGGAGTTGCCAATGCGAGACACGACGTTGTGGAGTGATGAGTCCGTTGATTTGCCCGAGCTATAGGCATGTTGATTAGGGTGTAGGAATTTGGATAGCGATACCCGGCTGCGTATCTCCAGGTCTCCTAGCCTCTCCATCGTTTTTAAGAAGAATGAAGTAAGGCTAATAGGCCTGAAGGACTTCGCTTGGGTATAGTCCTCTTTACCTGGTTTTGGGATGAATATGATTTTTACTTCTCTCCATTTCAAGGGTATGTATCGGTGGGCTATACAGGCTCGGAAGACAGAGACAAGATAGTCTACTATTAAGTTCCCACTCCATCTTAGTAGACCTGGGAAGATGCCGTCCAAACCAGCCGCTTTGAATGGAAGGAAGGTGTTGATTGCCCACGTTACTTTTTCATTAGAGATTATTTTGTGAGCTACTTGCCAGTCTGAGCTGTCGGTGGCTCTCTCTGAGTATGGTTGCCAGGCCTGTTCGTTGGCAATTATGCAACCCGGAAAGTGTGTTGCCAGTAGTAGTTCACATGTTTCTGAATCAGTTTTTGTAAATGAATTGTCAGGTTTTTTAAGACAACCGATCGAGTGATTGGGCTCTCTGGAGAGGCATGATTTCACCCTGGTTGCCTGGTTGTTTGTTTCAATACTGGTGCAGAAGTGTCTCCAACACTCCTGCTTCCTAGTACGTAAAAGTTTTTTGAATCGCCTTCTCGCGACCGTGTACTTGTCCCAGTCGGTGGGTAACCGTGTGTTCATTGCTCTATTGAACAGCTTCCTGACCTTCCGTCGGTGTCTCTCCAGTTCGGGGCACCACCAGTTATGTCTCCCTCCCTAATGGCACTCTTAAGTACTCTATAATGACTGATGAAATACGAGACATAGACATAACATTTAATACTAACAAAATACACAAAATAATAATAATAAAAAAAAATACCAAACAATTATGGATAAAAAAAAGGAATCATGTACTTAAGTTACTTAAAATGTGTGTAATGTCTGCATATTGTGGTTGTGCATTATGCTGTGGAGCAGACATGTTCCTCAGCGCTGGTCATTCTGCCAGAGACCACAACAGCTAGTTTGCGCCTCGTCTTTGCATATCTTACTTATGTACGCGCGTAAGAAGTTATACTTCTTTGGCTTTCTTTATTTTTTTTAATATTAAATAATTAATAATAAATATTTAACGTTAATAATTTAATAATATTTAATATTAAGTATATTACTCAATTATTAATTAATATGAATAATAATAATTATTATTATTTTATTATATTATTCATTCAATTTAATAACTAGGTATGTTTCATAACCTTTTAACTAAGAAACAAAAAAAAGCGTTGCTAAATTTCTTTGAAAAAATAATTAAAACTTCTATATTTGTTAAAAAGGTCATTATGGTAATTCAAAATTCTTGGCATAGCTGCTAACTTCACGCATATTCTATTTCTTTTTACTTGTAGATTGTCTTATTCCCATCTCGCTCGCGCACGCTCGGCGCCCGTCTGGTTTAAAAAGAATTCGTTAGTGGGCAACTTCACTCTGTTAATTTTGTGTCACGGTGCGCGCGCATCGTAAAATTTCACTCTCATCAATTTTTCATAACGCGCCTAAAGAAGTATAACTTCAAAAATAAAAAGAACGTCTAAAATCATATCGCTATTTAAAGTCTCATCTTACCCTGTAACTAACAGGGTACATATAAATATAAATTCAAAATAATGTATCACTATTTTTACATATAGATCTAATAATTTTTATTTATAAGGACGTCCAAGATTATCTTCTCAACGTGAACGCTAGTACTGAAGACAAGTTTGAAGAGCTTTTACGAAATATCGCTACTGAGAACGAAATCGACAATTATCTCAAACAGTGTTGGAGATACGCCTTTGTCGTGCATTTCGAATTGAAGTCGGATGAGGTGAGTTTTTATTGTTCTTAAAACATAACAAAAAATTAATTTTTAATGAGGTAGATACAAAAAATGTTTATAATATTTTTTTTTTTTCATTTTTATACTATACATAATAGGGATAAATCACGCAATTTTTGGAGATTATTGAAACCCCCCTTCCCTCATGTAACGCGCCGTAACGTTTTTCTGTACCCAATAGTAAAACGTTTAGTGACCACCCAGTGACTCTTTATACCTAAAAGTTACCATTATGTGATGTGAAGTACTGGAAAGTCGAAAATAATATTAACAATAACGGGTAATTCAATCCCCGCCCCGCCCCGTAACGTTTTACAAATAGACCCCCCCTCCCAAAATTCGTTACGTAATACTTAAACGCTCCCATAGCCAAAACGGAATTAAACAAACGGAAAACATTAACATAATTTTTTGAAGTGAAACTTCTCTAGGCGCATGAGGGTAAAATTTTTACGGAACGTCACGAAGATGTGCAGCGTTTTTGTCGATGAAAAGGGAGAGAGCTATTGAGACCGATTGAGACAGAGTGAGAAGGTTGAATTACCTTACAGAAATTCTATTTTAAAAATTGAAATTTTGTAAAGAGAATTTATGAAATATTAGTATTTTATATTTTATGCCAAAGAAGTTTCACTTCTGACATGTGTGTGTATGTGCACACGCACTTTTTTTTAAAGAAAATATTCCTTTAAATATAGGTTTATTTATTTTATTTATAAAAGCTTACCAGTGGACACTGATACATTGGTACAAGAGAAATAAATACAATATTTAATGTGACAAGCATATATAGTCGTATAGGCAAACATATACACGAAGAGATCCCCTCTTCCCCTCCGGCGCCGTACAGTTTGGACGTGTTTTTAGTGAAAGTGCAGTTTAAATTATATTTATTTTCAAATTTTAAATAAATTTGGTATCAAAAATTATATTACGCTACCCGGCACGCATGAAGCGCGAGAAGCATTAGATTCTCTGTGTGTCTCCATCAAATGCTGTGATCCTGGTACCGTGCCTCCATCAGACAACCGTAGGCCCCTCCACCGGTGCGCTGGCCCCTCCCATTTTACGTTGCACTGTCCCTCTGTGCGCATACGCAAATCATCTCACACAATACTGGAAGGGCGGTCGCCAATCAGGACAAGGACACCTGTTGCTAAGACTTCTATCTGTTTCAACGGATATTGAACCTTAGCTTTGAGAACCGCAGTACAAAATGAAAAAATCTTCTCCGACACAAGGAAATGTTCAGTTGGAGCGCGATGCAGGTGATAGCTCAACACAGGAGAGCGATTACGTCAATACTAAATCGCGGCAAAAGCGAAGAGCTGCACACGACGAGAAGGATGAATTCCTCGTTCTAAAAAACGAAATTAGGGAGTGGCTGCGGTCGTTCCAACGTGACCAAAATTCCAGGCTCGACAAATTGCAAGAACAACAGAACAGCCGGCTGGATGCCATGGAAGGTCGTATTGCCGAACTTTCCGCAAAATTGACAACAGCCAATAACACTAGCCAGGACATCGGAAAGTCAGTAGATTTTGTTTCCGAAAAGATCTTTGAGCTACAAGAAAAAATTGTCAGTTTTAAAAAGGATTGGACGGCGTTGTCATCTCAAATAAGTGACCTGGAGGACAAACACGAAACCTTAGCTCGAGCTATGAACAAGACATGCATCGAAATCCGAAATGTTCCCAAACAAACACCGACCCCAACGAAGTCGGAGCTTTTCGATTTCATATTGAAACTTTGTTCTGGGCTTAGTATTGAGATACACTCCGGTGATATAAGAGATGTTAGCCGTTTTACCAACAGGAAAGATAACATGAGTTGGAACCTCACCGTTGAACTGTCGAACACCCTCCTAAAGAACAACATTTTAAGTGCGACACGCAAGTACAACATTGAGAATAGATCTAACATGCTGAACGCCAGCCATTTGGGACTGGTAGGTAACACACCTATATATGTATCAGAATATTTAACACCTAAAGCAAAGCGCCTTTATTTTCTTGCAAGGGAAATTGCGAAGTCAGAACATTACGAGTACTGCTGGTCTGTTAATGGTAACGTATATCTTAGGAAGAAGAACGGCTTTCCTTACATTCTAATAAAAAATGAAGATCACCTTAACTCGCTAAACAAAGCATGACTGGTGTTAGTTGTAGTTTTATGTTTTTTAATGTTCTTGTTTATATTTAAATTCCACACTTTTTTAAAATTCTACACAAAGTTTAACACGTTCTACAAACAAATATTATCCTATACTGAATCACTCCACAGATATGACAGTACAATAACCAAACCACAATTTATTGCTATGAATATGAATATGTCAACCCCACCAAAGTACCACTATGATAGTGAGAGATTTTATACCCCATACAAGTGCCTAATTTTCCTTTTTATACTATTCGACCAATATCACCCAATCTGTAACGCAATCCTTCACACTTTTAGGTACAATTTTAATGTTTTTCATGTCTTCTATTCTGTTTATTCTAAAATTCGATAATTTAAGTTTAATTCGAGATATTGATGATACAAATTTCATTACCAACCAATATTTGAATTATCCGGAAGACTGCAAAGTGTTTTTCGAATCCTCAAACCTCACCATTGTTACTCAAAACATCCGCAGCATTAATAAAAACTTTGATAGTTTTCTAGTGTTTCTTAGTAGGCTGCAATTTAATCCTGATTTAATTGTTTTGACTGAGTGTTGGATTGATGACAATTTTACTGGTATTCACATAGATGGGTATTCATGTACATTCTCCCACAAATTTATTAACAAATGCGACGGTATCGTAATTTTTCATAAAAATAACATTAACCTTAATATAACAGAACCAGCCTTTACAGATGCAAACTGTTTAGTTAGTCATTTAATTAATAATGCTGTTATCATATCAATTTACAGATCACCTTCTTTTTACAATGTTGATAATTTTCTCGACTCTCTCGAAAACCTCATTTTATCGTACAATGGACACCCTATTTATATAGTTGGGGATCTTAATATCGACATTAAGGAGACGACCGACGATCACAGAGCTCATAAGTTTCTTGAGTTAGTGAACTTCTACGGTCTTATACAAGGTCATTTCTTACCAACCCGTGGTGGTAATTGTCTAGATCATGCACTCATCAGATCACATTTGCAATCACGCGTGGCTGTTTGCCCATCCCAAGTGAGTGATCATATGTCTGTTATTATAGGAATCGATCAGACCAAACACCTCAATAATAATTTAGTTAAAGCCTCCCCTATGATGAGTAAAGTTATAGACTACGACCAACTATATAAAGATTTAGCAGGGGTCGATTGGAGCTTTCTATATAACATCAAAAATATAAATGAAACAGTTGATGCTTTCACAAGCACAATTTCAAGTGCAATTAATACCAACACAAAAATCATACACAAAATAAATTCTAAAAGTATTAGAAAGCCATGGATAACTCCTGGGTTACTACGTTGTGTTAGACGAAGAGATTATCTGCATATCTTATCAAGAAAACAGCCTAACAACGAACCGCTCCTAAAGGAATACACGCAATATCGTAACTTCTGTAATAACATCCTTAAAAACCTAAAAAAATTACATGAGACTGACACAATCCTTAAGAATAAAGATAATGGTAAAAAACTATGGAAATCTATCAAAAATATATGCCACTTAAACCCAACTAAATCCAATTCTAATAAACTTCTTGATCTACAAGAGAACCCTGAAAAATCTCTCGATATTGTTAACGGTTATTTCAGTTCGGTGGGTAATAAATTGGCTTCCGATATATTGTTTAAGACAAATCAGACTGAACGAGACCTTTGCCATAAAGTTGCAATTACCGCTAACTCGAATTCTTTTCTATTCCTTCCTTGTGACGAGCGAGAAGTTACAAAAATTATTAGCTCTCTTAAGCCTAATTCTGCCCCAGGTGATGATAATATTAGTAACCGAGTGGTAATATCATTAAAAAACATAATTGCAGCACCAATATCTTATATCTGCAATCTTAGTATTGAACAAGGTATCTTCCCTGAATCTTGGAAAATAGCTAATATTACACCCATCCATAAATCAGGCAATAAAATGGAAATTTCAAACTACCGTCCCATTTCTCTACTCCCAACACTCGCTAAAATTACAGAAAAAATCATTAACGTCAGATTACTGAATTATTTGGAAAAAGAATCTATCCTTGCCAACAATCAATTCGGATTCAGACATAATAGATCTACAGAGGATGCTACCGCTGGATTGGTTGAGACCATAAGTTCCAAATTAGATGAAGGACAAAGGTGTATTGGTGTTTTTCTTGATCTAGCCAAAGCCTTTGACACTGTATCCAGGGCCGCGCCGACCCCCGGCAGCGCCTGTGTGCGAAACCCATGAAGCGCCTCCTTTTTTCTATAGGGGTCAAACGAGCCTTAGGGACGGAAAAAAATGGCAGTCATTGAATCTCATAGACATTTTTAGCGGGTGTGTTGCAGGCCTTTGAGGGAACTCCTTCTATATTTCGGCCTATTTTTTAAGAATCTTCAAGTTTCAATGTATTTTTTAATTTTGACTGAAAGAAAATTTTTCTTTAGTTTAATCCACTTAAATAGGTAAAACGTCCGCTGGCCAATTGCCGTGAAAAATAAAACGTGAATTAAATTGTTACATAGTTTATTTATGATGTTATTTTTATCTAACCGTTTTTAAGGTCAGATTTATGACATATCTTTGTAATAAATCCCATCTTTTAGTAGAGGACGAAAAATATTTATATAGTTCTTGCACAATATTAAAAAACGCAGTCGTGTATGAGATGTGCAGCGTCATTTATTATTAAATTTAAACTATGGCTGGCGCACGGACATAAAAAGTGCGGAGATTTACTCGTACATCCCGCAATATTCTTACCGCGCATATTTGAGCCATTATCATAGCCTTGCCCCCTTAAGTTCTTTATGTCCAAATTAATTTCGTTTAGTTTTTCTATTATAAATGACGTTACTCCAGCGCCAGTTGTATCTACGATTGAGCAGAAAGTGCTATTATAAATTGGAAAGCTAGGAAATGCTCTCTTATTCTTAACTTTCTAGTTTACATGTTAAAGTTGACAAATCTTATTATCATACTAATTTGCTCTTCGTGTGAAACGTCAGTAGTACAATCCAGTATTATTGAAAAATATTTATTAATTCGACATAAATTTAAAATAAAATGTTGAATTTGGTTACCGAGTATAAAAAATAGTTCATTTTGGATTTTATCAAGGTATGTCGGCATATTATTGAAATCATAAGACATAAACACACTCAAAAAACTCACGGCGGTCACCAGCGGCCTTTCTTTTGATTCGCTAAGCTCTGAGTAATTAATGTAAACTAAAACCTAAAGCGTAAAATGAAACTTCAAACGTACGTAAGAATATTGTAGTGTAGTATAAATAATTTCGGTGGCGGCGCCCTTATTGTATCAGCGCCTGTGTGCACCGCACACTTCGCACACATGGGCGGCGCGGCCCTGACTGTATCCAGACCGCTGCTAATCGAAAAATTAGAAAGACAAGGAATTCGTGGAAATATCCTCTGTTGGTTTAAGTCCTATCTATTCAATAGAAAGCAGAGGGTTCGAGTTGATGGGTATAGCAGTCAACTAGAAAACGTTTCATGTGGTTTGCCCCAGGGAAGTGTTCTTAGTCCAACGCTTTTTTTAGTATACATTAACGATTTATGTTCACTCGCACTTACTAATGCTAAACTCTTTTCTTTCGCTGATGACATAGCTATAGTCTTCTACTCACACTCTTGGGAACAAGTCACACGGTTAGCTCATTTAGGTCTTCGCCAAATCTCTCAATGGCTTTTAGATAATCTCCTATCCTTAAATACGTCTAAGACCAAATACATATGTTTTCACATATCGAAATCCAGCAAACCAAACCCTGTTCCGCCTATTAAATTACACTCATGTTTGAACCTTCACAGCAACTGCAACTGTCCTCTCCTGGAACCCACTAAAACAACCAAATACCTGGGATTAATTATTGACTCAAGGCTTTGTTGGGGCCCTCAAATTAACTACCTATGTTCTCGAGTTCGCAAACTTATAAATGTTTTCAAACGCCTTAGAAAGCCTGCTGATCCACATACAATCAAGATAGTGTATACTGCATTATCGCATATCGTTTGGGGTGGAGCGGCATTGTCTTCAATGCTGAAAATTGAGCGCACCCAACGTGCCATTCTTAAGATTTCATATAAGAAACCTTTCCGCTACTCAACTTCAAAATTGTACAATGAAACAAAACTTTTAACTGTGAGACAATTATATTTAATAGCAATATGCAGACTTTTTTGGAAACAAACACCCACCGCACCGCATCAAACAAAACGCAAACCCATATATAAGCAACCCAAAACTCGCACTTTCTTCGCCCAACGCTTTTTCTCCTTCCGAGGCCCTTTCATCTTTAACCACTTCATTAAAAACAAAATTATCACGAACATTTCAAAAATCACATTACATACATTTACTAAACATCTCAAACGATATCTTGTTAACCTGTCCTATTCTGATACTGAAAATATTCTTATTGTGCAAAAATAGTTTTAATATATAAGTGTAGAATATAAATGTGTAGAAATAATTAATATAATTTTTAAAATATTGTTTACGTGTCAAAAGGAAGAGACTGGCTGCCCACAACACAGGGAATCCTAGTGTGGGGGCCAGTGCACTTTACTTTATATAAATATCTTGTATATTGTGCATAATAAAGTTTTTTCTTTTCTTTTCTTTTCTTTTTCTTAGAGATAAAAAAATTAAACACAGCTGTTAAATTATAAAAACTAAAGAATAATTGATTTCAAAGTGTGCGGGATATCCAAACCTAGTTAAGATCTGCATCAGAATGCTGTTTCACTAAAATTATCATTATTTACTATAATCGCAAACAACATTTCATGAATGTCTTTTAATTTATTTTCTAGCGAATTATTGAAGCCACATTATTTAAAAATAACAACTTGTGTAGATCTAATCACTTGTAAATAACCAGAAATGCTTTTTAAAATCCTGTCAAACTGTATCTAATGCAATTAATATTATAAATTTTATATTTAACAAATAAATTCGACATTGTCGTATTGTCGGGTTTAGTGGCTTCCGCTACTCGCATGACCCTGAGGTCGTAGATTCGCTCTCCTATGTGCAGCAATGGACTTTTTGTCTAAGTGCGCATTTAACATTCGCTCGAATGGTGACGGAAAACATCGTGAGGAAACCGGCTTGCCTTAGACCCAAAAAGTCGATGGCGTGTGTCAGGCACTGGAGGCCAGACCTAAAATGTTTGATTTTTTTTCTGGTATTGGTTTAGTAAGGATTGTGTATGTATGTATTGTTCGTGAATAAATAAATAGCCCATACTATGTACTTACGAAATGGTGACGTCGATTAAATATTTTAACATGAAGTCTTGGTTCTCTTCAGTGGTGGGAAGACTTATGTGGTACGCTGACGGTGCACACCAATTGGTGTCTCGTTTGTGGGAAGACTGATGCCTTGAAGGAATGTACGAAATGTCCAGCCGCCTTCCACGGCAGCTGTTCTCGGGAGTGGCTTATTTCCGTTATACGTAAGTATTTTATTTATTTAGACTTCATTGCAGAAACATAATACAATTGACATAATTCAATGAAAAGCAGGACCACCGGCGACCTTATCGCTTTCGAGCGATCTCTTCCAGGCAACCACTTTTTTTTAAAGAACAGAGGGAAAACGGGCAGGAGGATCACCCGATGTTAAGTGATATACTGCCTATGGTCACTTGCGGGTGCGTTAAAGCTTCAATAGAAATAAGCAACTAGATCTTGGTCCAATAATAATAAGACAGCTACTACATCCGCCGTCTTTTTGTCAATTGTGTAAGATTTATTTCAACCCCTCTCAACCCTGAACTTTTATTTTCTTATTTTATATTCATACAGTAACTTAAAACAGATACAGAGCGTTTTCCAATTACAGCACTAGAGCGCATTTTGCGGCATAATGCTCAACGTTGAGTGTTCCAACTACAGCAACGCTTCGCACAATTGAGCACTCTCAAAAGTAATGCTCTCGCGTGCTTTTCGCAATCAATACCAACACAGTGACATAAAATTGACCAGTGTTTTTCTTTAAGTTGGCATTGATCAAAATGATCGTTAGTAAATATTATTTATTGTTGAAAAACTTGTAAGGCTTTCGTTTCATCGTAGATTTTGAAAATAATTAAAGTTATTTCAAACTGCTAAAAAAATTAATATAAGTATGGATGAAGGTATAAATAGTTACTTTTTTTATATTCCACATTTAAAATATGAATACAATTTCATTTTAAAATTCGCATCTGCAAACAAGTTTATTTTATAGGATTATACTTTTGTAAACATTGCAATGGTTTTGAAAAAGTATATATTTTTTTTAGAAATCATTTAAAATAATTACTCAAAACGTAAATGATGTAAACTTCTTACATGAAACTAAATATTTTACTGTTAATTTAGCTTATTAAAACCTTATATTCTTTAAAGGTTTTCTCTTATTTCAGTAAAAAAAAGGATGCGTGTACTTATGTACGCGCGTAAGAAGTTATACTTCTTTGGCATTATTAAAAATAGTTTTTGATTGCATGCAAATAATTAATTACAATTAAATAATCAAAGACTGGAAAAGGAGTCATTATAGTCAATTAAGTTCAGTTTACATTTCAAAAATTAAATAAATAATTATTTATTATTATTCTCTTACATTAAGTGTAACATAAATTCTATTTAGTGAAAAGTATATATAATTATATATTTAGAACATCTCTACCAAACACTAAGAAGTATGTTGTAGCTTTGGCAGTATTGCACAATATAAAATTAATAAATTTCTTTGAAAAATTAATCAAAACTCCTTTATTTGTTTAAAAGGTAAATGACAAATGTCATTATGGTCATTCAAAATTCTTGGCATACGAACTTCACGCATATTCTATTTCTTTTTACTTGTAGATTGTCTTATTCCTATCTCGCTCGCGCATGCTATAATCACACTCCCAATTTTGTGTCACAGGTGCGCGCGCATCGTAAAATTTCACTCTCATAAATTTTTCATAACGCGCCTAAAGAAGTATAACTTCAAAAATGTTAATGAAATAATTTGATTATTAAAATAAGCGTAAATAGTTTTCAACCAATTATTATTGTTTGCCACATTATTTATACATTAATGAGGTTGCTAACTCTATTCAGAACATTTTTTTTTCAACACTGACTAAGCGCACTCTGTTGATGCATTTGAAAACTAATTCACGTTCCAATTAAGCTTCAGCATAATGCGGCATTGTGCGCCACTGAGTCGCATTATGCTCTGTAATTGGAAAACAGGGACAATAAAAAACTTATTAATATAAAAATTAAACTAAGAACATAACATAACCCGACAGACGTTGTCCTGTACACATATCTTAAATAGAGAACAATTTATTGAATATTAATTTTGAAATATACATTGAAATAAATAACTAAACTTAACATAGACTAAAATATATCATTAAAAGGAGTCCCTTTAGACAAGGTTCCGAAGATACTGGCAGCGTTCCCCCTTTGAATTGCTAGACTAATTCTTTGTCCGAGGTAGCTGCTAGATCTTCGATCTCCTGTGATGTCGACTAAAATATTCTCGAATCCACTCATCAAAATCGGTCTACCGATTTATTGCATTACGGCGTTGTCGGGAAAGATTCGATAGTTTTAGTCCTGGCATTTTTAATGATAATATCGGCACGATTAGCTAATAGAAAATCGAAATAAACACATCAACCGATCACCGACAATAAGTGAAGTCACTTATTGTCAAATTTTCAATCTTACTTAACCATAGACATTATGTTTAGCTATACCATTATTAACAAATGAACGGCTAGACTAATAAATTTTCGTTTTTCTGTTTGTTTTGTTTTGTTGTACCACGTTCAACGGAAACAGGATAAAATTATCCTATCTCCGTCTCCTAGTTCTAAGCTACCTCCCCACCAATTTTTAGCCAAATCGGTTTAGCCGTTCTTGAGTTATAAATAGTGTAACTAACACGACTTGTGAGTTCAGTCAGTGTGCAACTAAATATGAAACTAGACGCACGTAACTGGTTGAGTAAATTTGTACGCGCTCACGGTACTGCTAGCGGTAACCGACTAATTATCTGGTACTCGAAGTCCCAGTCTCTACAACAATTCCTCATTATATATCCTTCCCCTAAGAACCTTAAAAAATATAGTGTGATAATATAGTCCTTATTATTATGAGGAACGTGTTGTATCGTACTATACGAAACAAAGTTGTATACATGTCGCAGCCAACTAGCTTAATTAGCCGTTTAATTAACGGCCTCGTCGTTTAACTAGCGGCCTGAAAGACGTTCAGCCAGTTGATCAAACAGCCTGGGCAAATGACTTGGATCGATGACGTTTCATTACTTGCCTAGCCTGTTGAGTGTTAATTTAAATTTAATTCCACTTTCTGCCACTCTCAAACTCGAAACGAAACTCTTCAAACTGTCAATATGGCTTCGGAAAACCACAACTGTGATAATGTTTTCCAGAGTTTCCACTACAATGGAAGAGTGTAGTGACAATAATAATGTGAATTTGACTCAAGCAATTTAATTTAAATAGAAATATGATTTATGTCATGTTTCATCTTTTTATTTATGCCAAGTAATGACTATCGTACGAATGGCCTAAGCATTAGCCATCCAGTTTATTAAATGATGTAACAAAGGCTACGGCTGAATATCTTTCAGGCCGTTAGTTAAACGGCTAGGCATTGAACGGCTAATTAATCTAGTTGGCTGCGACATACATAACCGCACTTGGTTTATCTGTAAAAATATGATTTTTCTACATTAAATTTAAATTATGAATTAAAATGTATTGCAGACCGTAAAAGCCCACTGAAGGTGAAAAACGATTCGCCAGTACTTGTGGAGAAAGTCCTATCAAGCACCAGGGTGAAATGTATGGATGATAATCCAGGTGATGACAATCAAGATCTGTGCCCCAGTTGCCGTTGGGGACCCAAAGTGGGGTAAGTCATGTATCAATTATGCAAATTCGTTTATTATGAAAACACTTTTTTACCTGATTGAAGTTATGTGTTATAATAAACTTATAATTATTATACATGATTTAAAAAAATGCGACGTTTCGCGTGCTCTTCAGCGTGCGTGGTCACGGTGACTAACCATAATTTAACTATGTACAATATTTACATTACTAACAATATATGGATTTTTTAATGTAAATTAAATGTTTTTTTTTTTAATAATTATAAGTTTATTATAATACATCACTTCAATCCGGTAAAAAAGTGTTCTCTTTAAATGTGTAAAAGTTATGTTAATAGAAGACAATAATATGTTTATTATGGAACATAAGATACATGTATCACTTATTCCACGTCATTAAATTTGAAACTGCAGGCATAGACATAGGCCGAGACAAAAAGCCGGCGTAAAAACTTTCGGTACTCTTTTAAAATAGCAAAAAAAAATTAGAAGCAGCCTGTCTAGCACTAGTCCCAGGCCCGTTTATCAACTAGATAATCGTTAGGGTTAAAGGTCTCGTTACCAGGCCATAAAATTATTATATAAAAAAAAAGATAATCGTTAACGTTTCTTCAGATTGTTGCTTTTTCTTTCGCACTAAATGCAGCAGGGGTATGTGGGACTTGACTTGACACTTATTCAGAGAACCGGGTGTACCCCCAAAAACTACTTGGATAGTACCAGGGCGACCACATCAATTTTTTATAGAACATGGAGCAAATGGTAATTAAAAATTGATAAAAAGATAAAAGGCTGGCGAGCCCTCTGGCATTGAGAGTGTCCATGGGCGGCGGTATCACTTAACATCAGATGAGCCTCCTGCCCGTTTGTCTCCTGTTCTATAAAAAAAATTAAAGCAAATTTATAAAAGTTTGGGTCCAGTCGCAGTGTACCTTTAAAAATCTTTTGATATACTTATATCACATATTAATATGTTACAACATTATGGGTTTCTATAATCTACATACTATACGCTATTTTAGAAAATATTGTTTTATTCTGTGGCGCCAAATTAAACTTCACTGGTTAATTCGTAATATTTTTGTAAACTTACCATACTAACTTACAATTAAAAGGCCGACAACGCATTCGCGAGCCCTCTGGTATTGAGAGTGTCCATGGGAGGTATCACTCAACATCATGTGAGCCCGTTTGCCCTCTATTGTATATAAAAAAAGACTGCTACCTGCTTGTTAATGATTATAAATAAATAAATATTCCAGATACAATGACATAGTGTGGCATAAGCTGGACAGCTGCTCTTGGTGGCCAGCCAGGGTGCTGACTCCGTGCTCTCTCCCATTGTGTTTGATGTCTTCCTCGCACGAGATGGACCAGTGGCCTGTGCGGTACTATGGTAGAGACTTCTGTCATTCAATAATTCTTAATGATGGGAAACCAGTGATGAGAGGCTTTCCCTCCTTCGGATATTGTGTCTTTAATAAACTAATTAAAAAACAGTGGTGCTATAACCTTTTAGCTCTTGGCCTCATATTTCTGTATATGTTTCATCATTTGTTTTTTTTAATAGGCAAGTAGGGGATATTTTTGGCCTTGACAAACGCCATTGGGTCTGACCTCACGATGTGCTTCACTGTACGTGCAATAGAACTAAAAAAACATTGGTGCACAACCGGGATTTGAACGCAAGACCTCTAGGATGTTATACATGCGTGGATACTCTAAAATCTATTGTTGAAACTTGGACTGTTTCATGAGTTGGAATATACCTACTTATATAAATTTTTATTTTCGAGAGATTTATGGAAAGCAATGGAAAGTAGCGTACTAAAAAAAATACATAAAATAAAAAATAAAAAAATAATAAGATGACAATTACCATTGAAGGGGTCAATCAATGTACTGATAGTATTGCGCCTGGGGGTTTTCACCTCGGATTAGAGTTACAGTGAATGAATTAATATGATCGATGTGGGATATTGTTTTTTAAACTATAAATTGCAATGTTTACCCAAAATTTTTTTGCACTCCATTGTTATAATTTAAAAAAAAATATTATGAAAAATTAATGTTTGACGATATATTTTATTTATGAAGGAAGTTAGGATAACAAGAAGAAAAAATGTGCATGCGTTCAAAGTACACATGTGAGAAATGAAATTTCTTTGGCAAACTAATTTTATTTAAGTCTAGTTCATATTTATACAAATCTAAAACTTTAGATTTCCGAGACTTAAAGGGAGGGAAAGAGGAAGATATGTTAGGAATGTAATGAATTTTTAAATTTATTTCTTCGATAATAGAAACACGTGGCATTTTAATTTACAATTCGTCATTTGAGATTTCAATAAATTATTTTGCATAAAATATAAAATACTAATATTTCAAAGATTTACGAAATTTTAATTTTAAAAATAAAATTTCTATAAGGTAATTCACCCTTCTCACTCTCAATCGCTCTCTCCCTTTCGACAAAAACGCTGCACATCTTCGTGACGTTCCGTAAAAAATTTACCCTCATGCGCCTAAAGAAGTTTCACTTCAAAAATGTATGCAACAAATCTTAACTGTACATTTGTAAAGAGTGGAAATAAACAGGGTTTATTTTTATTATACTTACCGGAGTCTTTTAGTTGTTTTATCGTTTACAGGTACGCTGAACCATTCATGGGCTAATGCAAGTCATATGTGTCTGTTTCTCCCAAAACACACAACGGCTCTTAATGCAAGAGATGATATCTTGAAACAAGCCATGCTTGACGCGAGCGACGATTATATAGCCGTTTATTTAAGATAGATAGCCAAATGTTATGATAGAAGTGTATTAAAATTAAATGCAACCAACTGTGTTTTTTCTTTCCCCACCAAGCCTGCATAGCTCATCGCTATATACCTCTGAAATGGGGGTAAGTTAAGTTCTCCTTTTTTTTTTTTAGTATGGCTCTGGCACGATTTGTGCATTAGCCAGCGTCAAGTATATATATAGGATTTTTATAATTCGTTCTTTTTGCCTTAAAAATTCGACCGTGTCCTCCATGTACGGTTTAGGCACTCGCCCGGTACCGCACAACCCTCCCAAAGGCCGAGAACAAATATAAATTTAATTAAAACTTGCCCTCGAACCCGGTACCCCTCACCTAGCTGCCACTTAATAAGACCGCTAGGCTACGCGCGTAAGAAGTTATACTTCTTTGGCATTATTAAAAATAGTTTTTGATTGCATGCAAATAATTACAATTAAGTAATCAAAGACTGGAAAAGGAGTCAATAAGCCACAGCAGTTTACATATGAAAAATTAAATAATAAATATTTATTATTATTCTCTAATGGTGGCCATTCATGGGCGATCCATATGGCTTTCGCGCCACTGCACGGGCTCGATACTCGACGTCGCGCCGAGCCAAATTCATGCCATTCACGAACGCGCCAGCGAGCCGTTCCATTTGATCATTTTGAGTGTAGGCGTCGATAGCACCGGACGTTTTCATAATGAACTTCGATTCAGAAGATGAGTTTTTTTTATCTACCATAGCGATTTGTCTAGTTTAAAAAAAAAATAAAGTTGTGTAAGGATTGGTTGCTGAAAAGATCGCAACTCACTCACATAAATTTAATGAAGGAGTTGACTTTTTTTTCTAAACTTATAAATAAATTGAGTAACAAAGTCATGGTCTGAACTCATTGCGAAAACGAATTATATTAACAATGCGTCACGTTCTTCCCGTCCAACGGTTAAACGAAAACTAAAATCAAAATGGCGTGTTTGGCTCGCGATTAACACCATTCACGAGCGAGCAAACCGTATGGCACGACGGCTCAGACCGACCGGACCGTTGGTTTTCCGCATTCACAAACGCGCCACCTGCGTATGCGCGCCGCGCCAATTGACTCGGCGCGATGGACTTTCGCGCAGTTGGAATTCCATCGCGCCGAGCCAATCCATTTGGACGGACAGTGTTTTCACATTCATGGACCAGTTTTGGATCGACAGCAGACCAAATGTATCGATGGATCGCCCGTGAATGGCCGCCATTACATTAAGTGTAACATAAATTCTATTTATTATTCGAATGTTGTTTTTAAATTATGTCCAATGCCGTAGCATCTTCCGTGGGCAACTTCATTCTGTTAATTTTGTGTCACGGTGCGCGCGCATCGTTAAATTTCACTCTCATCAATTTTTCATAACGTGCCTAAAGAAGTATAACTTCAAAAAGTTTTCTGTAACCGTACCATAAACAATAGAAACTAGAGACTTCGCAAAGTTTGACAAGAACAATACGATTATGTCAACTTGGCTTAGCCGCGGATGGTTAGCCAACATTGCAACAAAATTTAAAGCTAAATTATTAGAACGAGAGAAAGAAAAATCTTTATTACACATAATAAAATAGGATGTATAGTTAAAAAAGAAAGTGCACTAGGATCCCGTGTCGTGGGCAACTAGACTCTTCCAATTGACATATTAATGACTTTAGGTACTTGACGTAATAAATACTACATAACAATTTTAAAATTAAAATACTGTTGCACAAGAAAAATACTTTAGTTTTAGCATAGGACAGATTGAGATGATTATTAAAATGATTAATGAATGTATAGTTTTGAATCGATTGTGAAGATTTTGTTTTAGTTAAAGATTTGTCAGAAAAATTAACTCTTGAGGCCTTGAGATTTAGAACGTTACGAACATTCAAGAACCAGGATTTAAAATAAAACAAAGAAAATTAAAATATGTTTTAATAAAATCGTTAAATACATAAAAATAATACTTTTTACAACTTAACAAGCGACATGCTTAAATCTATAGAGCCTACTTTGCTTTGACTCGGCATTCCAGGATTCCAACCCTATTATTTAATTTAGCTCAAACTTCAGTTTATGATTTGTAAAACTCTACATGCTTAATAGTAAGCTTGATGAATATAAGATTTAGACTTAAAGCCCAAACTATGACTACCACATGTCAAAATCCAATACATTTTTGACGTACGTGAGTGAGACTTAGTCTGTTTCTGAATCCCTAAGAGCCAAGTCAACGTGTGCTTTATAGACTTAAGTTATTTATTTGTACTTACACTATTTTAACATCATCCTATACATATCACATTGCGGGAATTATACAGTTGATTTGCATGAAATTTATTGGTACATTGGTATACCCGAAATCTATATCAAAAATCACATTTATGCTAGGCTGACAAACAAAATAGGCATCTGTGCCTGACACTTGAGTGGTTTTTTTTTCATAAGTTATTAAGTTGAGAAAAGTTTATTGGTTAAAACTTTTTTTTGTAACATTATTGACATCAAATCAGGTTTCTATCGAAATATTAAAAAAAATCTCGTGTCAACGTGTATGTGAACGTATACTAAACCGAAACGGTTCGAGCAATTTTAATTGGTTATAATTCATCGAAATGACCGGCGGGCGCAACTAGCACAATTTCTATTTATTTCGACTAATATTATTAAAATGCTGTCATATTCTACATTATTTACATTTTATCTATTAAAACCCTATATTATTAATATGCGCAAACTCAAAGTCTTAGAGACCAAGCGCTATGTCACCCTTATGTCAATGTAATGACATACGAGAGTGACACTTAGCCATAGACTCTTAATCTAGTCAATTATATGTAGTTCTCACTACAGATAATGTTCTCCAAACCGACTAGACCTGTCAGTCTGACACTGCTTTAAGTATTCTCTCATTTCTTACTATCAAATGCTGTTGTCGCTGCGATGAAAAATATAAATCTATTTTATGGAACATCGTATCCAAGCAATTTTTTTATGTAACAGGTCCGGCCGGACGGGCCTCGGCTCCTCACCACAATACCAGGCTCGCAAGAGGCGGCTTTTTGACAATTGGTACCCTCTTTTCTTGAAGGACCCTAAGTCTAATTAGCTCGGAAATAATACATCATTATTAGTAACCACACATTAAGAATTGTTGGGAACTTTACAGATGAGTACAAATCAAAACGGTACAATTACATTGATAGTGCATGTGTGTGCATTCTGACACACTCACACTGAGCACACACGACCGGAGTATCACGTGAGCACGCAAGACCAGGCAATTTGCTTCCGGGATTATCTATATTTATGTCTATCGGGTTGAAGAGCAAAGTATTTTTGATTTTGCGCATATTTTATCGGCTATCGTAAATTGGCTCGTCTTTAATCCGCAACTCAATCTTCGAACTAAAGCGAGCCAAAGTCAACATGGTTGTGTCAACACATACATCTCATATTGGTAACCAGACGCAAACAGATATACAAACTATACAAGTTGTATGGAAGTGACGAAATGCTGTCGAAAACTGAAAATAGAAAAGTCAGCAGATTTAAGTTGGGCCTAAATTTCGGCCTTCATAACACTAAGTCGGACTCAAAAATGTATTGGATTTTGACATACAAGTGTCATAGACGCAAAATTTAAAAATTTCAAGTTGTTTGTATATCTGTCCGCCATTTCGTGCGTTCAACCTCTAATCTAAAGGCAATAACGTAGCAGGAACCCTAGACGAAGTCAACTAAGATAGACATTATGGCCTCGTTTTGTCTCTTCATCACAGTATAAACAATTAGAGAGAAAGAGGGGGAGTTACGTAAGAACAGTGGTTTAGAATTAAAAAATAAATGCCAAGTACTTGAAAACTACCGTCATTTTATGTAAGCAACGGTTATTAGCAGTTTAAAGTAAAACCTTTATAATATACAAAACTTTCTCAGTCAAATTGCACCGATACAACTAAAGTACTTCTGTCTCTTTTTATCACAGCGTACACACAATTTATATACAATACAAAGAGACGAAAGAGTACTCCAGTCAAAAGTGTAAAATTTATGGGGGTAAAGGTTAGGTTTCTAAAAAGCGGTGCCGCTATCCAACGGCCGTAATGTAACGTTGGGTGACGTCACCCATACGTTGTCTATAAATAACATCAGAGTAGGTTTTCTAGAGAACGCCGAGTGTCACCGTAACGTCAAATAGCGGTGCTGTCATTTGCATGACGAACGTCATAACGGTGATAAACAGTAGTTCAACGTTTTTCGCGTGTAGCGGTGCCCATATTTAATTAATACCATGAGTGGAAACGTGACTTGGACGAGCGAAAATGATGTTTTTTTTGCATTATCTAAAAAAGTAAAGACGGTCGTTATTAACAACCGTAAAATGACGGCCGTTAGTTAACTGCACCGCTTTTCTAGGAAACCTAAGTGTTTGAAGAGCAACCTGACTATTCATAAATGCTGAATTATTCAAGATTAATTTAAAAATGAGTCCATGTTAACAAATCTGCCTTTATTTGTTGCGTATTGTTGCGTCAGTCTACGCGGAAAGAGAACCGTCGTGGGATTTGAGGTAGCTGAAGTTCAAGATTTCCTTTTTTGTTATGACAACACTGTTTTATAGTACGACAGTAATCATCAATTAATAATAAGTCTATATTTTCTGCGATACATAACAAATAATATTAGTTCGTAAAACTTCCACGTCGGCTATCTTTCGGTACAGAATAATAAGAAGAGAAGGAAGAGTTTTGAACGTCAAACGAGTACAGAATGTCTATCTTAGTTCTGAACAAAATGAAAAACACGCACAAGTCTACCCTAGGATCGTCATATAGACGTCTAAAAACAATTGAGAGCACCATGTATATTGATTAAAAGTCTTTACTCGCCGGGGCCCATTATTAGTGCACTCACAGCGAAGAACAGGAAGACTATACCACCGATAATTGTCACTGAAAAAAAAAGTAAAATCATTAATGAAAATGTACCATCTACTATCTATATACTACCGTCTCTCTCTGTCAAGTTGTATTAACTGTATGATAAAAAGAGAAAACTGCAATTAGATTAATTTCTCTTTTTTATATTGAATCATTCAATCACCAAAGAGTTCGAACACGATTGTTTCATTGAAATTTTACAATTTGAGGGCCAAACTGAACATTTTAATTTTATTTATGGAAGATGTATGTAGTTTAGGAGATATAACCAAAAACGTGTTTTCCCCCCTTTTCCAAGATGGCGGCCGGGGGACAAGGGCGCCAACCCCACAAACTTGGGTTTAAGCTTGTATTGACCCCCCTACATGTTCCATAAATAAAATTGCGTCCTCTAACAAATGTTCAAATGTAACATTTCAATGGACTAAATCTGCGCGAGAAGGAATTACAAAAATGTGTATGTAATAGAAATGCGCGAATTGTATTCTTTCTTTAAAATTCTTCCTTGGCAATCTACGGTTACTATTATTTTCAATTCCAATAATATGCCAAAATAAACTTTTTTGCAGAGACGTTTTGATGGTAAGTATTATGACAAACGAATTAATGGCCAGCGCTCTTCGTTTGAGTATGATTAGTCGACATCGCTATTACAAATACGCACGCAACAAACGCCATTATTTCGTCGTTAGATTTTTTACCAAAAGCTGACGAAAAAAACTAAAATGTTAAAGTCACTCAGCACCATAATACTTTTGTTTTGTCAGTATGAGGTTATTTATATAAAAACCCTTTGTGTGAAATTTAAATATGTCGTAAGATTGGTGTCATTATAGAAGAGTGTACCAACTCACCAGTCCTAACAGAAATCTTCTGCGCCACCATTCTTCCACCAATCACAGCCAATCCCGTGCAAAGGGCATGACCCAGGGAGCCTCCCACCACGACTCCAAACACATCTTCTCTCGTGGCCAACACCACTGTCGCCAATTGCGACCTATCTCCCCATTCTGCTAAAAACGTCAAAGTTGCCGCTTGCAATAATACTTTAAAGACTGCACTACGTCTTTTTCGTCTCTCTGCTAGACCTTGCTCCAGCATCTCAGCTGTTTCTTCTTTGTCTTCCTAGAAAAGAAATTTTCTTTTAATATCATTAAATTTGTAATGAAAAAACATTTAAAGCCCCAACAACTTACTACAAGAAATAATTAAATATCAAGGTTAAAATTTTTAAACTTTAAAATGGCTTTTGATAAAAATTTTTTTTTATCAAATTGAATTTCTGACACAAAACAAATCATTTTAGAAGATTTTTTATTTGTATGAAAATTGTCAAACTGCGGTTTATTGAATAGGACATTAACACAAAGTCTCTACTATAAAGTATAGAATGAACAATAAAGCTTTATGGACGCGAAACAATAATTATTGTTTGTGTTTAAACTAAGGTATATTGTCTAAGTGTTTTCATTTAGAATATAAATGTGCGTTAGCTGTAAGATTACTTATAAATAAACGTAGTCTGTTAACACCTCGCGCATCAACCACAGAGTCACCTTATTTCTTGTAGTAAGATATTTTGAAAAATAAATGTACGTAATTTGAACAAATGAATTTCGAATTTAAAGTATACTAATAATATAAAAAATACTTTTATTACTACGAAATACTCTCTATAATAGGTATTTATTCCAAGTGGGACTAACGAAAATACAAAAAATAGGGACCAGACTTTAATAGTGAGATTTTTTACCTTGATCCCAAGGTCGATGAGCGCTAGAATTATCAACTACAACGAAATTTTAAACAGAAGTTACCAAGCTCCAATCATTTGCATAAACAATATATCAATATTAATTTGATAATGTAATATGTAATACTATATATTAATAATGTGATGATGTACTAATAATAATATAAGAATTGACTTTAAAGTAATATAACTTCTGTGTAAAATTCTACCTTTTAAAACAATTTAGATTGTACCACCATAATATTTTTGTACTATATTCTCGCAAATAAATTATTATTATTGTAGTTTCGTTAGTCCGACCCAGACGCTAAGCGCAAATGAATTAATAAAGTATAATGCGAAAAAAACACACGAAATTAATATTATAAGTGCGAAGTTTGTTACGAAAATAATGTTCTGAACGTATCGAATTTAAATATTAGGAACTTAACGTTCCAAAACACACTTCAAATATCAATAATTTATTAGTAGATTAAGATTTTCAGGACATATATATATTAATATAAATATACTGCCAATTTCCGAACTAAACATTCTTATAAATAAATCGCAATGTTTAATAAAATGGTTGTAATTAGCAATAAACTTTAAGACACGTTTCTAATAACGCAAAATTCAATTTTTTCTAATGTTACAAAAAATAATATTAAATTCTAGTATATACAAATAAATTTAAAATAAAAATTATTGATATTAAAATGATTTTAAAAATAAATTTTAATAAACTATCAAAAGGTGAATGTACTAACACAGGTCATTCACCCACGGGGTCATGAACTTTAACATGACCCATCATCTGTTCACTAACGTAACTACTTGACAGAAACTTATATTTTGAAGATTTTCAAATATTATTTTTTATATAAACATTAAACATAGTATATTAATGAAAGTTTACCGGCGTAAATTAGGCTCTGAAATTGGCATTTAATATAATAAATCGAGTACATGGTGCTACAACATATACATATATATCAAATGCTGAATTCCTTTAACTAAAATACTAAGGCAATGATGGTGATGCTAAATAAAACCTAGAAAAAGCTAAATAAAAAAAAACTAATGTGTCATTCGTACTGCCAGGCAATATGATATAGGTTCACCCTCATTTCGGGCCGATTCGAAGGCCCGGCTTGGGGATCTTCAGGGGAGACTTGGGACGGCACCTCGGATTTCTGACCCGTTACTTCTAGAGTTTTCTGACTCGATACGTTCACTTCGGGGGTTTTTTCACCCGTATGACTTTCACCTTCAGGCGATATATACTCTGTCTTTGCGTTTTGTGGTGATTTCAATCCTATTCCACTATCTCTTTCGGGAGAGATCGATTCTTTCCTGTCCTTTATGGAGAGTCTTCGCCTCGCATTACTTTGGGATGATTCCTGATCTGTTATACTGTCATTAACTGTCTGCTCTATACTTTGCGGCGATTTGCCATTGGGAATTTGATACGTTACATCAGATTTTATAATTTCTGGGCTGAAGCGAACCTGGCGCTCAGACGATTTAGGACTGTCAGATATCATAAGTGATTTGGGTCTCGATGTTTTTCGTGCCTCAGGTGTTCTAGGGTTTAAAGAAGCCTGTGAATCAACCCGACTTAATTGTGGGCTTTCGGGTCGTCCCGACGAGTCTTCAGTCTTCGACGGACTTGGGGAACCCTGCGTACACCATGCTTATAATACATAGTATATTTAATATCAGAAGGAATTCAACATTTGTTATCTAAGGAAATTGTAGCAGAAAGAAAGTAATAACTGTAATTTCAATTTTTGTTTACGCCCAAACATTAATGTCGTCTCATTAATTTTTTGCAAGACAACGATACTATTTGCTAAAAGTATGGAAACTTCCTGAAATTACTGTGAGTCTAAAGTCTATTAAGGATAATACGAAAATCGAGGATTGGCTGGCTGAAATATTTTACTTTTGAAATGTAACAAATAGTTTTCGTATTTTATAAACACACACGAATGATAAGAAATAGCCATAATTTTTACTTTCTACTTCATTGTGATTGTTATCTATTGATATACAATATAAATAGCCACCGGTAATATCTGTACATGGTAGGTTCATCATCATATATAATTATTTTCACAAATCTAACTGATTGACTATAAAATATATTTGATTTTTATAATCAAATAAAATAGTTTGTCTAAAAACCGTCGCCGTGGAGTGCCGGCTAAGAATAGCACTCCCCATCTCTACCCGTGGGTGTCGTAGCGACCAAGGGAACATAAAATTGGGAAAAACGGGCAGCATTTAGCATCAACATAAACTGTGCTTAACGACCCGTTTGCCAAGAGCGGCGAGTATTTTACACTTAGCACCCCAACATGAACAGTACAACAATACGAAGGCCCCTTATTACCTGCAGCCTAGCTAGTCCTGGCCACGATAGTAGTCAGGGAAACGGCGGGGCCGTGCTAAGAATTCGCTACAGGGAATTCAGGGACGCAGGGATTCGGCTACCATTCCCGACAACCATTGGCACTGCTCACTTATAATGCGCTGACTGAGGACGGATGATAGGCTAGTAGAATTAGAGGAAGAACTGAAGAAGATACGATGGGACTTCACGTCCCAGGGTTATCAGAGGCCCGATGAGAAGAAGAAGACACGTCATTGCAGCGATTTCGCTCCCTCAATGCTTAAAGTTAAAAGTCTTCGAACAGTGCGTTCTGTCCTACCTCTAGATCTCTTACTTTGAGCCTGGTACACATTGCTCCGCGTCGATCAACGAGCTACTGAGAGGGCTATGCTCGGTATATCTTTACGCGATAGAATTAGAAATGAAGAGATCCGTAGAAGAACTAGTCACCGACTTAGCAAAAAGGGCGTTTACGCTTAAATGGCAATTGGCCAGGCAGATGAAGGTAAAAAAAGTCCTGGAATGAAGCCCCAATCGGCGACGCGTTGGACGGCCCCCCACTAGGTGGAACAGATGACCTGGTGACGGCGGAGGGAAAGCGTTAGATGCACGGAGAGATCTGGTCGTACTGGAAATATATCTTTTTTTATTCTTATAGTGGCTACTTTAATTTTGGATGCCGCGCTTTTGTACATTGACTTGGTGCTTTGACTAAAACATTGTCTAAGATTCTTCAACCAAGACGTGCATCTGCAGCCAGGTGGAAATTTATGGGAGAGGCCTATGTCTAGCGGGGGACACGAACTAAAACGAACAAATAACCACGCAAAAATACTTCAAGGAATTCTATATTGAAAAACTTGCACAAGAAATAGATTATGTATTGCGAAACTTAGTAAAGTCTTTGGTGAAATATTTTCATTATTTTCACGAAAATCAAACCAAGGACAAAATGTAATATCTTTAATCAGAAAGTTATTTAAATCTTTAGTAATATATGACATTGATTCAATAATATACATCTCAGTAAGAGAATTTTAAATGTGAAATACTGAGAACATATCACTAGAGACAAGTACAGACGATCAAGTGTTTTTAAAGTTAATATTGTTTTGATCCTAACGTCGGATATATCCAGATAATGATCAAACTTTACAATATATCAGGACAAAGACAGTTCTGTCAATATAAGATACACCAAGAGCGATCTTATAGTGTGTCAATGTCAACTGTCAATTTCACAAATAGATACAGTAGAAATCCTATTAATCATTGCGATATCTACCGCTTTTTATTCTGATATTACCACAGAATAAAATAAACCAAATTCAAAGAACAGGAAATCTTTATATTTTTACCATGACGTTTGTCACTCGGTCAAGATTGCCAACCTCGATTTCGCACAAATTTCTCTATTAAACCCGTATTATATGACTCAATAAAAATTTCATCAAACAACAACAATTACGAAAATACTGTCTTCTCGTTTTGATGATGTATGACATTTCCCAACTAGGACCCCTAGTCGAAAATTATGAAAATTCATTATACCACGGTCGACTGGTCACTTGCGACTTGGGCTCTATGGCCAAAGCGATATTAAGTTAGTGCTCTAAAAGATTCAGTCTCGAGACATATACAGGGTGGCCAAAAAGTCGTGGATCAAACGCAAATATAGGTCATCAGCTGCAAAAAATTGTTCTACGGGAGGTCTCTAAGCTCAACCCATGGCCATGTGTAATGTCTTTTCAGAATCCCTATTAAATGCGCCAAATTTTGTAATACAGGGTCACTTTTCGGTAGAAAAATTTTTTCCCCGAAGTAAACAAAAAGTTATGATTTGAAATTTTTTTATATCGTTTAACTTAATATTGTCTTCAATACACACAATAAAAAACTTTAATAGTCTGTCTAACGCAAGAACTCATCAGTACCAATCTAGTGGATATTATGAAAAAGATACAGGATGTAGATTTTTTCGAATTTTAATAAGAATTAGTAAAAAAAAAGACAATTTTCTTATAAAACGCAAAACAAATTATAACTCTGCAGGGGTTCAGCTTAGAGACCTCCCGTAGAACAATTTTTTGCAGCTGATGACCTCATCTATCCCCTATTTGCGTTTGATCCACGACTTTTTGGCCAACCTGTATATTCGCGAACTAGGATTTCTGTATGTCAAAGTCGCTTACTGCAAATACTACACTGCGTTTGGTCGAAGACAAATAACCCAACGCAAATTATAAGGTGGTTTTGCAAATTGTACAACCGAGATTTATCCTAGCCGTAGTAAACAGAAATTATATTTATCAAAGCTAATTTGTCTATTAATAGAAATCCGTAGAACCTACTGTTTAAGCCGCAGCAACCAGTCGTCAGGGAAACTGAATTCCGACTATAAAATTTATTGATTTTGCAAGTAATCGAAGTCGATTTGGCATATCAACTAGGGGCCCTTTGAACAGTAAAACTGTTTTGAAACGTTCACAAACAATTACGACAACACAGTATTAAAGAAAAGTCGTCTACATACTAGCTTCAAACACACCTGTTCCTCTCTCCTCTTCAATTCGGTCTGCACCTCATCTAACTCTTCTTGACCCTCGTTCGGGTCCATTTTCCATCCATCTCTTAGCATCTTCAGACCAAATATGAGGAACAGTGCCGCACTTATATAATGCGTATACACCCTCGGTACAACTGTGGCTACCCAGCCAAAGGCTGCTGAGAGAACAGTCATAAAAATAAGCGCAGATATGGCACCACTGAAGACAATTATTCTAGAATGTTTCATGGCCATGATTGCAGCTATGAAGAATGTCTTGTCAGCTAATTCTGACACAATAACCACGGACAGTGACGCTAGGAAACCTTGCCAGAAGCCGCCTTTGACTGCTGCATTCTGAAAATGATAAATATTAAATCAATTACTATGTTTTTAAAAGTTCTGGATTTTCACCCATTCTATACAGAATTCGCTTCTTATTTCCCGCTTTCGTAGTTTTGCTAGTTACGGCTATGGGGCCGTTCAAGTATTACGTAAGCACTATGGGGGGCCTTTGATTTTCTTATTTGGTGATTACGTCACCAATAATTATTTACTTTTTTACACATTACCCACACATTGTCTATGCTTGAAAACGAAATACATTTTCGAGAACGTTTATTTTTCCTGGCTGCGTCTTGCCTTGGGCACATCTAGCTTCTTGGAGGCTAGATGCGCCCTTTAGCCTTTGCCTCCAAATGACCACGAAACTAAACGTCGTTCGATATCAACGCTAAGTATCCCGATGCTGGTTGTGGCTTTAAGAGTGTGTTCCTGGAAGGGAACTGGCCAAAGTGCCAAACATGCATAAACACAGTGTTTTAAACAAAACATTGTTAATTCGTGTTAAGATTTTAGAACAACAGATTAAAATATTTCTTTGTTACTTACAAAACAAAGACGACACAATTTTACAAAAGTATTTATATTCAGTTTATTTAGTTTAACGCTTATCAGAGGAAAATGAGGTCATTCTCACTGCCTGTAAATAATAACTCACTTATTCATTCAAGGTGTTTAATCTATTTTTATGTTTTATTTCATTGTAACAGGTACAGTAAAAAGTATGATTTCACGATGAAAGTATGGTCAATTAAAAATGGGTTTAAAGTGTTAAAAAAAGCCTTGGATATTTTGAGTCGTACATAATCTCTGAGAAATTTGTATTTCATTTACTATATTGCGTGTAAACGATAACGTTTTAGCTGATGCTGGAGAGTAAGCATGCCTTTTACAGGGACCTACCTAATGTCCCTATAGTGGATATCATTTAATAACTCAAACCGAAAATAACTTTATTCATATAGGTAACCAAGTACACTAATGAACATCAACAGAAAACATGTTAAATTCATAATAAATTTACATTTACTACCAGTTCGCAAGTCAAGGGCAAGTGGGCAAGAAAATCTCCGCCACTCTTTTTAATCGCCAAGTTGTAAGTCATACAAATTGTTTCTAAGGTATTTGAACTGGAGAATATTGCCATATACATATATCGAGTACCTGCACATAATCTTCTACTAATATATAAACAATGTTCGTTCCCATAACGATTCTTATGAAATTTTTTATGCATATTCAGTAAGTCTGAGAGAATCGGCTTATATACGATGTTCGAGTAAACTAATTTCTCTTTGAAAATAGATTATAGCCCATTTACGTCACGTCTGGCTTGGATCGCGTCAAGGTCAGAAATGTTTGAAAAAAGAACATGCGTCACCATAGATTCAAGAGCGTTTGTTGCCATCACAGATAATCCAATAACAAATTGCTTTCTAGGAGTGAGTTTAATATTTTTTATCTCTCTACTTATGATATATTTTGTTTTATGAACACTTCACATTGACTACAAGAAAAATTGCCCTTCCATGTTCCTGCCTACAAGATTCGTAATTATGCTTTATTTCACGTTCCTCACATCAACACCAACTATGCAAAAAAACTCAGTTTAGTATCGCACAGCCGGGACATACAACGACCAATATTTAAGCCTTGACTTGTTTAAGCTATCGCGGAATATGCTTGGAGTATTAAGAATGTCTATAGCGCAAAATCACCTGCATCATGAGCACACCCCACATTCAATATCCACCCTCAGTTTCATACCATAACACTACACAGTCGAATTATGTATTACTTAGTTAAATGTATTTAATAATTTTATTGTTTTTTGTAAAGTATTAAACTTTATGTACAAGCTGACCGGGCAAACGTCGTTTTGCCATATATATAATTTATAATAAAAAAATAGGGGTTGATCGTAGAGGGGTGAAAATTAGGGGTTTGTATGTATTTTTTAATGCTGTATCATAAAAACAGAAAAAATATCTAAAAATAAAAAATAAAAATTTAGGGGTGGACTACCCTTAACATTTAGGGGGATGACAAATAGATCCGATTCTCAGACATACCCAATATGCACACAAAATTTCATGAGAATCGGTCGAGCCGTTTTGGAGGAGTATGGCAACGAAAACTGTGACACGAGAATTTTATTATGTATATATATACGTATTATGTTTATTTATTTTTTTAAGATTTGGTTATTGCACTTTACCCATCATAATATGTCTTGTATTTAGTTCTTTTTCTTACTAGGATTGCCTGGAAGAGATCGCTTGTTAACGAAAAGGCCGCCCATTGCATCCCTTATACTTATTATGTTATCTGTTTTTCTTTAAACGTAACGAAGTGTACATAAATAAAATAAAACGTGCTCTTTGGTAACATGAATAAAGTATTAAATTATTTGTTTTGAGCAACTTTGTTTAAAACCAATTATTGTTACCGCTTTCCTAAGCCATCATAATCATAGAATTTATTCACGCTATTTATAAATTAATTAAGTGTAATTATGCCGTATTGTCTATATTGTAGGTTAAGGCTTCTAAAGTATTAATTAATTTTAAACAATAAACGATTTTTACTATTTAAACGCCCATTTCGTGGGGTTCCATTTGTTATTTCTCTTAAATTTAATTAATTAAATAAATCTTTGTTTTTTATCATTAATTACTTAAGATGTCATGTGGAACATAGTGTAATGGTTGCAGCTCCTTACAAACATTTTGTAAAACAAAAAACTAGGCGTTTAGAGGAGGTGGCGGAGAGTTTATTGCCAGTTCTTCTCGTCCATTCTACATTGATTTGAGAACTGGCAGTAAATGTAAAATTAGAAGCATTTAATATAAATTTCTTTATTGACGGTCATGAGTGTACATTGTGTTACCTATATGAATAAATTATTTCGAATTTGAATTTATCCATGGTGCAGTTATATTCAGCATCTGCAATGGTATTTTGTAAATTTGCGATTGCGACCCCGATTTCAATGCATTTTTGAACCGTGATAATCTCATAGCGAATCAGTGCTACGGATCTTAAGAGAACCTCATCGTAATTGTTTACGACATTGAAAGTTACAGAATACCTGCGCTGTTTGATTTAAAGCAGCATATTAATCAAACTACAATCCAAATCTACAACTAATATTTGGTTGTAAAAACCGATATTCGTAACAGCCGGGACCTTTATTTTGGTCAATATAACCGGTATGTTGTTCTAAACGATGTCGTCGTAAACGGTTTTGACTGTAGTAGTAGTACTAGTAACAGTTAACACTATGTGGAACCAGCTGCCCACTGAAGTATTAACCGAACTAATTCGACTTAGGGTCCTTCAAGAAAAGAGCGTACCAAATCTTAAAAGAGTGCGTTACTCGCGAACCTTCTGGAATTGAGTGTCCATGGGCGGCGGTGGTTGGTGGTGGTGGTGTTTACCTTTACAGGCTTATATAGGCCTTTTAAAAGTGATTGAGTTAAAAAAATCTTTACATAATAACATTTACCTGGCTCTAATAATCGCCGTTTCACATCAGCCTATACCATTAATATATACCATTAAGCCAGATAAAAAGTTCCGACGTCTGAAGACTGTATATTTCTACAATTTATTTTTGGATAATTTCTAACCTTGAAAACCCAAAGAAAATAAATCGTTACGTACAACGTACGCACATTATGTAGCGCATATGTATTAAAGCTGTGGTAGCTGGAAGTCTTCCACAGTTCGTTTCACAAAACATTTTCTTTTGCGAACTAACGAACTTTGGAATCGCTTCTTGGTAGGGGGTTCTTGGGAGATACCTCCAACTTTAAAAAAGAGCACTCACTAAAATGGGTGAACATAGGCTGCGATGACGGCAGTTTTGGGCGTCCCGTAAGGTACTTCCCCACCCCCCTGCTACAGGTAGTCTAAGGGCCTTAGAGAAACCTTGAAACCTAACTCGAAATTTGATTTATTTACAAGTTATGTTTTTGTTGGCATCATTTTTATCTATAATTCTTTCAATTTTCTATGACATTTCAATCAAGATTGACGACTGGTAGATGCTGAAAGTTTTGACCATTCATGTAAGATGATGTCAGATAACCGCATTGTCTACATGCACCAGTTCACGTATAGATTATCTTATTCAATATAAAAGATGATAACTAGAAATAATCCTTTCTCTGTTAGGATAAGATAAACTATCTGACAATTCAAATATAATTTTAAATACCATTAACGTATTATCTTTTGCACCGTTTTAACTAAAGTACTTATCATGACAGAACAGCATTTCGAATGATAAGAAAAGGTAGAAGTTAAGCTTTCATAAAAAAAAGCAAACTCTGGAGTTATGTAACCTAACGTTAGTTAAGTTACATAATCTAAAACAAACCAGTGGCGCTACAACCTTTTTAGGTCTGGGCCTCAGATTTTTGTATTTGTTTCATGATCAATCTAATAGGCAAATAAGTGCCTGACACGCCGTCGGCTTTTTGGGTCTAAGACAAGCCGGTTTCCTCACTATTCGAGCGAATGTTAAATGCGTACATAGCCAGAAATTTCATTAGTACACAGCCGGAGATCGAACCTACGACCTCGAGGATGAGAGTCAGACGCTAAAGCCACTAGCCCAACATTGCTCATCAGGGGCCGTTCAAGTATTACGTAAGCACTATAGGGGGGAGATCTTCGATTTTCTTATTTGGTGAATACGTCAACAGTAATTATTTACTTTTTTACACATATTACCCACACATTGTCTATTCTTGAATACTGAATTTATTTTCGAGGATTCCTACAAAAATTAATACGTTTACGTACTATTAAAATTTTAATATGATAGGTAACTGATGTGTTAGTTTTAAGAACCTTTCAATAATTCAAGTTAGTTTTGTTAGTGTCGCAACCCCACATACCCATAATTGTATGTTAGTTATAAGCTCATGTTTTGTGATTAAAACCAGTTGACACCCAGCTTCAAACAAAGAGTTTCATTTATCTGAACATCCTCCCAACAACCGCCACCGAACTTAACTCTGGTTAGACAAAAAAAAAATATTATCATTTTAGAAAACTTTTTTTACGGGTTTCGCTCTTGCTAACTAAACAATAATTGTGATTGTTTCGTAATAATTCCATGATCAATACTACTTGTTAAATTAATCAATAAAGCTTTTTATAAATTTGACGAATACTCAAATGATCCTAATCCTTGATTTGCTCCAGTTCAAACAATTTGTATGACTCATAACTTAGCGATTAAAAATAGTGGCGGAAAGTTTCTTGCCAGTTCTTCTTGCCCGCTCTACGCCGTTGACTTGCGAACTGGTAGTTAATGTAAATTTACAATTAATTTAACTTTTTTTTGACGTTCATAAGTGTACTTGTTTACATATATGAATAAAGATATTTTGAGTTTGAGTCTAACAATGTCTTGTATTAAAAACTGAAGAGTGTATACGTGTCTGAATTTAGATAGATTTTTTTTTGTTGGACATTTTTTTTAAATAAATTTACGTTCCACTTTAACGTGAACTTGCGTTTTAATAAGCATGTTAGTAAAATAAATAAAAAGCCTGGGGAATAACCTTAGCTTGAAACTTGGTGACGTGACGATCCTTGAACATTTACATACGGGTACTCCCACTCGAAACCATTGCAGATTATGCGCACGCGCATCATATGACAATCGACTTCTTTTGATAATTATTGATTTTATTCCGTAAAATTTGCCTTAATTATTTAATTTTCTATCGACCCCAAAAACCCAAACCCGACATCGAAATTTTAAATTCTGATACACATATGTCGGTATAACTATCCTTCGAGTAGGTATTCTGCCTCCTGTACCAACTCCAAATTTACAATATTTGTGAGTACAAACAAATACAACTAAGAGCAAGAAATTGAATACTAAACCTAGATTCAAGTGCGTTGCACTTACGACCTTGTTGCCACCATGCATTATTCAAGAGTATTACTGGTAACTCTAGGTTATACTTTATTTTCCTCAAACTACTAGAAGTGAGAGAACTTTAAATATTGTAAACTTAAAATTTAAATTAATCTAAAATTTTCTAAATAATTCATTTCAATAAACGTTCTAATTTAGTTATTCGTGCTCAGAAATATACATATTTTTAAGTCGAATGTAGAAGTCAAAGTAAGAAGTAGACATGGGGAGAAATTGGCTGTGCCAAAAATCAATCTGGAACTGTTTAGGAAAAACACCTTTTGTATGGCAATTAAGGTTTACAATAAATTGCCAAAAGAATTAAAAGATCTTCCGACTAGAGTCTTTTAAAATCGACTTGGTGTATTGCTTTTGGAAAAATGTACTATTCAATAAATTATTATTTGCGTAAGACACTGTAGTTGATATAAATTTAATAACTTATGATATGGTGTACGATACAAATAATATAAGAATTGACCAATTCATATGACTAATAATGTAAAATGTAAAATTCCTTTAAAGACAAATTTGCGCGCTAATATGTGTGGTAGAATATGAGAATTTACATACGATTGTACCACCTTACACATTTTTTGTACCATATTCTTGCAATAAATTATTATTATTATAATTTATTTTTCATTTAAATATATATACAGTGGTACGTCGATAAACGATCCTATATTATACGAGTGTATTGAGTTGCGAGCAGCCGAGCGAGCAATATTTTGATTTGATTTGAGATGAGAGCAAGATTTTTTTAAATAAATAAAAAGATAAGTAAAATCATATTAATAGACGAAATTCGCCATAAGCCAGCCATAAGTTCTGTTACGAATGAAAATTCATTTTTTTAAAGTTATACTTCTTTAGGCGCGTTATGAAAAATTTATGAGAGTGAAATTTTACGATGCGCGCGCACCTGTGACACAAAATTAGGAGTGTGATTATAGCGTGCGCGAGCGAGATAGGAATAAGACAATCTACAAGTAAAAAGAAATAGAATATGCGTGAAGTTCGTATGCCAAGAATTTTGAATGACCATAATGACATTTGTCATTTACCTTTTAAACAAATAAAGGAGGTTTAATTATTTTTTCAAAGAAATTTAGCAATGCTTTTTGAATTATAATCAGAAGTGATTTAAATTGAATATTTAAACCAATACTAATTAATATTTGTGAAAAAAACTGTGCTCATCAACCTTCCTAAGTGCTTCAATACAATTGAGGTTAACTATCCGTATGTATTATTATTATCGAGTAATGTTTTGATTAAAAAAATGACCACATTGTTTAATCAAAACATGTAATTTTTCTGATTTAATCTAGCAAATATAAGGACAAGAGACAAAAAACTATTGATGAATCAGTGTAAGTGCACTAAATTGAATACAAAAAAAGAGTTGTCATCTTATCGCTGTGAAACATCAAAAACTGGAGGTGGAACAAAGCCAAACTATTTTTAATAATGCCAAAGAAGTATAACTTCTTACGCGCGTACATAAGTACACGCACCCTTTTTTTAATGAAGTAATAATATTAACACATCATAACATTTATACCTAAAAATAAGCAAAAAATTAAAAAAAAATCTATTCGAAATGTCCTTTTATACAGGCCTGTAAATCTGTTTGACAACGAATGTATGGATTTACGCAGTGTTTCCAAGAGTAATATCGCCACTGCTTGCTCCAAAGCTTTTATAAGAGACTTAATGTTGCCGTGTCGTTTCGAGCAGGCTATGTCCTCTTAAACAGTGTTGGTCTAGTGGCTTCAGCGTGCGACTCTCATACCTGAGGTCATAGGTTCGATCCTCGGCTGTACACCAATGGACTTTCTTTCTATGTGCGCATTTAACATTTGCTCGAACGGTGAAGGAAAACATCGTGAGGAAACCGACATGTCTTAGACCCAAAAAGTCAACGTCGTGTGTCAGGCACTGGAGGCTGATCACCTACTTGCCTATTAGATTTAGGAATTATCATGACACAGATTCAGAAATCTGAGGCCAAGACCTAAAGAGGTTGTAGCACCACTGATTTATTTTATTTTATGTCCTGTTAAGCTGACCATAATTTAGTCTAAAGGGTTGAGATTTGGCTAAATGAGGGCCAGTCTTCAGCTCTTATAAAGTCCGGAACGATGTTTGGGTAGTTCGTGCCTTTTGACCAGGTGCAGAATTCTCCTGGAAAGTCCACTATATACTTTTAAAAAGTGTAGGTATTTCTGAGAGATTTCCAACATGATCCAAGACTTTATTCATACACTTCGGCTGAAGTTTTCACTTCTATTTCACAAAAATTTAGTTTCGTGACTCCTTGACAAGACACGCCCCACCAAACCATCACTGACGCAGGATGATGACCACGTTTCCTTCCGACCACTTGAGCAGCTTCTTTAGAACTGTGAGCGTACACTTTATCATTTTGCTTATTGTAGTGTTCGTCAATCGTGAAAATTTGTTCATCTGTAAAGAGGATATTTCTGTGCTTTTCACCTGCGTATCGCGACAGAAGGCGGTTTGATAGATCCACTCTCTTTAATTGTAAAGATTGATTTAGCACAAACAAAATGTCACAAATGGCGCAAACTCGAAAGAAGTTTTTAATATACGTGTTCCAAATTCAAAATAATTAAAAAGTTGAAAATAAATGCATTCTCATTTGTAACAGAACTTATGGCCAGACTAGTCATAATACTTTAGCCGCAAACAGTAGACAATTGTCGTTGTAACAATATCAAGTATTTATTATGAGTAACAATAAATGTTTATTTTAAACACCTTGGGAACCTTTCAGAGGGTCATAAATGAATACAATAGCAATATGATCTACCTTTTAAAAATGAGTCTTTATGTATGACAAATCTCAATCTGAAGGCGGTAAGTACAAATCCCGTCTGTCAATATGTTATTGGATTTTCTAAGTCTCAACTCTGAAACTTACCAACATCGTAAGTGTCAAAACAAAGAAAAAAATTTAAAGAAAAAAAGCTATCTTTAACCATTTTCGGTAGATTGTCCTCTGACAGTTTAGACACTTGTAAACTATCCTGAAAATAGTTGTGGTTTTTTTCTGGTGGTTAAAAAAAAGCGGTAAAATCCTAACTGGTATTTTTCAATAATCTTTTGTCATAATCCGAAGAATATCTATAGAACATTGAATAGCCATTTTGTATAGAAGCCGATCTTAACAACTTTGTATGAAGTTTTTTTTTCATTCTTTTTTTTTGGCCAGTATTTTTTGTTCTAAAAAAACAAAACCGATAAAAAAGTTAATATACCAATGAAACATAGAATTATGTAAAAAAATATTAAATTCGAACAAAAGATTACAATGTCCTCGAATACGATGACAATACCATGTTTGTTTACTTACAAAATAATTCTACATAAAGGGTTTAATTATAAACGTGTTTTAAAATGTTTGCTGCCATCTTTTGGCCACTATCTATTGCCATTGCATAGCAGACAAAGAAAATGCCTATAGAAGTATTTCCGAACCAATTCGACTAATAGGGTCCTTCAAGAAAAGAGCGTACCAATTCTTAAAAGGCCGGCAACGCACGATTGTTTTTAATATCGTCTATTAGGTATATAAAATTGAAACCTTAAACTTTAAATACGATTTTTTTTTGATATTGACATTTGGTTTCCACTGATTTTAAGTTATATACACTGTGAGTAATCACTGATGAGCTAATAAAATTTTTAAAGAGTGGAGTAGCCTCAAAATGGAAGTAAAGCTAGAGGGATATTTAATAATTCTTAACTTAAGACGCAATAAAATAGAAACGCAAACCTTTACAACGAGATCCAACAACCACTCCCTTATACCGGTCTCTGGAGGCGGCGTACTAACAAAATCAGTAGTCGACTCTATATCCATAGACGCAAAATCCGACATCGACGAAAAATCCGAAGTCGTAAAAAAATCCGTCGACATCAAATCCGGTAGGACAGTTGTCGAAAACATCTCACTAGTCACCGTTATAATATCCGTGTAATTCATCGTTCCGAATTTAATTTTAAATTTCGCGCCAATATTCAAAAAGGGAACGCGCCAATTTCACTGACCACAGACTACCGAATACGCAAACGCGCCAATAACACTAAAAAACATCTCATGATAAATTTATCTTGACAACATCAGATAAGTGGAATATAGTTTATCATTTTATTGCACGCGACCAAGCGCTGAACGATACGAGGGCTGACTAGATGTTTTGAAGGAAAACCCGAACGGCTGTTCACAATTTGTCGTATTGAGGTTGGTAATATCGTAAGCGGCGAAAATTATGCGTCATATAATGAAGAAACAAAAAGGAGCAGTTAAGGCAAATGTAATAGATACATGTATCTAATAAAAATCATACAATAGATAATTTTTTAATTAGTACTCAATCTTATAAGTCGCAAATATCACATTTATCTATTATTATGATACCGTTATCTTGATACACATCTTAATTTTAAAATATATTAAAATACGACCTTGAATTGGAATTACAAACACTACTGCTCTGATACTAGCTAGACAATACCTTCATATACAAAAAGATATGTTTTTTTACTATTTTATGCCAACATAGATATTCGAGCTAATTAATATTAATTCTACGATATGTGTGCTCAGCAAGGCGAGACGGTACTTCACTCCGGGCCACCGCTTGCAACTATATAAAGCGCAAATTCGGCCCCATATGGAGTACTGCTCTCACCTCTGGGCGGGAGCTCCCCAGTACCAGCTCCTTCCACTTGACCGTATTCAACGAAGAGCGGTTCGAATCGTCGACGACCAGTCACTTTCCGTGCGGCTTGATCCCTTGGCGTTGCGTAGAGATGTGGGATCTCTCTGCATCTTCTACCGCATTTACCATGGAGAGTGTTCAGAGGAGTTGTTCGGTCTAATACCTGCAGCTGAGTTTCATCATCGGACGTCAAGGCAAAATACAAAATACCATCCGTATCACCTCGACGTCCGTCGTTCCACAACAGAGCGTTTTCTAAGGCAGTTTTTGCCGCGCACCACCACTATGTGGAACCAGCTGCCCACAGAAGTATTTCCGAACCAATTCGACTTAGGGTCCTTCAAGAAAAGAGCGTACCAATTCCTGAAAGGCCGGCAACGCACTTGCGAGCCTTCTGGCATTGTGAGTGTCCATGGGCGGCGGTATCACTTAACATCAGGTGACCCTCCTGCCCGTTTGCCTCCTATTACATAAAAAAAAAAAAATGTCCATAGAAAAATAGTCATTTCACGATAAAGAAGTTGGTTTTCCTAATCAAGATACGAAATCATATTATATATTAATGGGGTACACGTTGTACTATGACGACAAAAACCGCGTCCGGCTGCATGCAAATCTATTAATATGACATATATACGTTTTAAGGATATCTATAGCGCTAACCTGCATCATGAGCCCACCCCACATACACACACACCCTGACTAACACACCATCACACAACAGCTGAATTAGGTATTACTTACTTAAATGTATTTATTGACTTTTCTAGTGGTAATTTTTGAACCTTTTGTTGTTTTTTGTTATATATCATTTTTGTTAGCTGTAGGATTACGAAATAAATAAACGTATATTCGGTGTTTTCAGACTACAGATATATATCGTCGATATAGATACGATACGATAAAATATCGTATAGACGCAGTGCAAACCGGCTATGTTATTAATAGTCAAGTACACTTGACGGCAGTAGGAATTTTAACGTTACATCTAGCTTGTTACGAAAGACCTAGGACGAGGCATATCAATAAATGACTGCATATATACCTGAGTGTTAATGTATAGTAAACATATACATTATTATAAGCCAAGCTTATTTTGCTTTGTCATACAAATTTATTTTAATACTATATATCTAGTGACGCATCCAGAATCATATCGCTAAAGCGGCTTATACCGGTTTGGAAAGGAAAATTTATTGTTTTAATTTAAATAAAGCCTTTGGGGGTTTTATTATTTAAAAAAGGCTTGCATGGCTTTACTTTAAAAGCACACAAAAACAACAATTATAACTAACTTTTCACCCTTTAGGCAAACACAGCAACACATACCTATTTATTTGATGAAAGAATGAAATAAAGAAAAAACTTTATTATACACAAAAACAGGATATTTAGGTAAAATAAAGTGCCCCTAGGATTCCCTGTGTTATGTGCAGCCAGTCTCTTCCTTTTGACATGTTAACTCTACTTGACAATAATTTCTATATAATACAATTTATAATTAAACTATTTTTGCACAATAACAATATTTTCTGTATCGGCATAGGAGAGCATATTGTGTGAGATTTTTAACGAATGTATGTAATGTGATTTTTGAAATGTTAGTGATAATAACTATTACTAAGAGAATTAGGCCAGTCATTATAGACATTCGAAATCGAAAATTTGATAATATGTAATTCCAAAAGTTTTCAAACTTCGGTCAAGTGAATGGTACATTGGGACGACAATAAATCTCATTTTGCAACCTTGTCCGCAGTCCGGAACATTGTTAAAATTGCAATTAAATTAATTTTTGCTGTATGGTCGTGAAAAAAATTCCAAAAGTTCTGCAAACTTGGGGAAGTTTTCGATATAATATTTCATATCACGTATAAAATTTGCAACCAACCTAAGTGTACGGAACATTTTTTGTTATTTATTTTATTTTCGATATATCTGTCAAATTTGCAGAACTTTTGGAACGTTTTCCTTCAGTTTAATAAAGAAAAACATTAATTTTTAATAACAAAAAATGTTCCGTACACTTAGGTTGGTTGCAAATTTTATACGTGATATGAAATATTATATCGAAAACTTCCCCAAGTTTGCAGAACTTTTGGAATTTTTTTCACGACCAAAACTTATTTTTAACAATGTTCCGGACCGCAGAGCAGGTTGCAAAATTTTATAGTTTGTTTTAATACCACTCCCGACCTTACATCAAAATTTGAAAACTTTTGGAATTATTATGAATTAATTGTCTTGACTGACTGGTCTAAATTCTTTAGACTAAATATAGATATATGTGATTTGAAAAGCGAGAAGTATAAATCATAACTTTGGAAAATTTTGGTAAAGATTCTACGAAACTGTGAGTATGAGAGGTGAGTGACTATAGTTAGTAGTTATGAGTGAATTGACTATAAAGATATTACTCATAATGTATATAAATTCTATGTAAAACCTTTTAATACACATGTGGCAGAATATGTGAACTTTAGATTGTACCACCATAATATTTTTGTACCTTATTCTTACAAATAAATTATTGTTATTATTAATTTATACCGCCGCCCATGGACACTCACATCGCCAGAAGGCTCGCTCGTTGCCAGCATTTTAAGATTTTTTTTAAATAAAACTTTATTTATGACAATCCCCACACTAGGAAGACCCTGTGTTGTGGGTAACTAGAAAACAATTATTACGCTCTTTTCTTGAAGGACCGGATAAATGGAGGAAAGGATAAATTTAATATTGTATATAAATCATAAAAACGTTTTTTTCCCTCTGTTGTATTTTCGTTTCGTTTTTTATATTGTATTTTTTTTAATTCTTTTATAAGGAATTTTTACATTTGTACTGTGGTGTAGCTCTTCAGACACCAAAGGCTACGTGGTTCTTTGGTTTAAAATAGGTCTGATAATACAATTATTTTTGACTCCCATTAAATTTTAACCGACTTCAAAAAAACGTATGTAGTAGTACATAATACAACATATTAGTAGTAATATCAGAAATTTCACGTGATAACGGATGTTTTGTATAGTTAAAAATTAATTAATTTCTCATTTCTTATCAGTTAATAGCAGTATGCGGCAAACGGTGTCATCTTTGAATTAAATTAATATTGACTTTTTAACCTTATCATCAAAATTTAAATAAATATGGAATACTTTCTATGTATTACTAACAGAATAATGATTACATCATAAAGGTTGCTGGGGAGAAATGGATGGAGTAAATATCTATATATATATAATCCAAATGGAAAGTCCAGGAGGAGTCCTTTACCCAAAAGGACCATACTGGAGAACACGAAGTAATGGAAATACCAATAACTACTGTAGACTAAGTGTATAATAACAATATTTTTTATAGTATGTAACTAAAGTGGCTTTATTATTATTATTTTTATATTAATAATACGAAAACTGCTGAGACTTGCCGCAGTTTGATAGTTTGCGAGTTACGGAGGGAAATAAATTATTAGATTTGCTTCAAAATCATATCATAAAATCCGATAAAAACCAAGAATTTGATTACAGTTGGTTAAATTTAAAAAAAATACGAATTGAGCCCCATGGGGCCTTATTCCTGCCATATGGTCACTCTATGGTACGAATGGCCTAAGCATTAGCCAGCCAGTTTATTAAATGTTGTTACACACGCTACGGGTGAATTCTTCAGGCCGCGCTGATTAGTTAAAAGGCTAGGCTGCGACATACCTATACATCAATCAGATGAAACTTTATACAATAATTTTTGTCTATTTATTTTGCTGTATGAAATTATTGTGTACATGCGTAGAGCTTGAAGTGTTTCATACAAAAAATCACGGTAAGTGTAATTTAACTAATATTTGTTTTTTTTACATTTGTACTTCTTTAGGCGCGTTATGAAAAATTTATGAGAGTGAAATTTTACGATTGCGCGCGCACCTATGACACAAAATTGGCAGTGTGATATAGCGTGCGCGAGCGAGATGGGAATAAGACAAACTACAAGTAAAAAGAAATAGAATATGCGTGAAGCTAACTTCACGCATATTCTAGCTTAGCAGCTTAACAAGAATTTTGAATGACCATGACAATTGACATCTGACAATGACATTTACCTTTTAAACAAATATAGGAGTTTTAATTATTGTTTAAAATTAATAATTATATACCTAGTTATTTTCATTATACAAAATATTTGTGAAATAATATAAAATATTTGTGAAAAAACTGTGCTAACCTTCCTGAGTGCTTCAATACAATTGAGGTTAACTATCCGT